TAACCATACATCTGTGATTTGCAAGGGGGGGAGCAGTTCATTCTTAAGGCAGGTCTAAGTATTAGGTATGACTGATGGTATGACCAACACCTGCAGAAAGTCCTGGGAAATGCTCTGAAATAGCTGAAATATTTTAACGATGCTCACACCGCCAAACAAGTGTTCAGCCTAATCTTTTCCAACTAATGTTTTACACTTGAATCCAAAAGTTAGTTATTATATTATAGTCAGTATTGTGTCAGTGGTATGAGTTTGTACCCAGAACATTCTGTTCAGCCTATTTTTGTCCGTCCCTATGTGGTCACGTCTGTCACACCTGTCATTTGTCATTTATAGACTGTGTCTGATCTTGGCATCAGTCCAGCCTATATAAACGTGACTGTCCGATGTTTAATGGGCTGGCCTGTAATGTCTGTGCACCTGCGCACAAGAAATGAAGATCGGTTCTCCAGACACAAGGCCGGCCCCCTGATTTGCAGAGGGTTTGGCTTCCTCACTTGTCATATTAATTATTTGGTTATATATTATAAACTAGACACCAAGAAGTGATCACAACCTTTCAATTACAAGGTGCAGTAATTCTAGATATTAAATCTATTACAACCTTATCGTTGAATCAGAAAACCAAAATGATTTATTTGGATAAACTTGAGCCATTGTTTACTAACTCTCTGATCCTTAGTTTGGAAATACTTCAACACATTACAGACTGCAAAAAGAAAGCAATTAGCTGCATAGCCAGTCCCAGCTTAGCAGAGCAGCTGAACCAGTTCTGTGGCAGATTTGAAAGACAATAGACCTTCAGTCCAGTACTCACCATTACATCACACCTTCTCTCTTGTACTTAAAGCACCCCTGCTTTCCCTGTTCCTCACTGCATGAGAAGCTTGCAATGTATATAAGAAGTATAATGTCAGCAAAGCAGCTGACGCTCTCTGGCACTGTGCACTGTCTTTTGCCTGCTTCAAGACCTCCATTATCATCACCAAATAATCACATGGCCGAATGAGTACAGACCAGTCACTTTAGCATCTGTGCCAATGAAGACCACTGAGCAGCTCATTCTGGCGCACCTCAAAAACTTCACCAAAATATCTTTAGTCCCCTATAGTTTGCCTGTAGAGCCAAAAGGTCAGTGGGCGACATGAGTATCTCAACATTCACACGCATCTCAACATCCCTGGAATATATGTGAAGATCTTGTTTGTAGACTTCAACTCTGCAAAAGATAAGAAACTAATAGATAAGAAACTTGCTCCTTAGTTAGTCCTGCCAGTGTCCATCTGTCATTGGATCTTAGACTTTCTGACTGACAGACAGCAGTACGTATCGATCTGCAAGTACATGTCAGATACTCTCACCCTCAGTGCTGACATACCTCAGGGATCTGTGCTTTCTCCACTGATCTTCTCCCTGTATACCAATGACTGCACCTCAAATGACCCATCTGTCAAGCTGTCAAGTTTGTGGATGACATCACTCTGATAGGCCTCATATTCAACAGTGGTGAGTCCACGTATGTAGAAGAGAGGTGGAACATCTGTCAATCTGTAGTCACAATAACCTGGATCTGAAAAGTACAAAACCACAGGAGATAGACTTCAGAAAACAACAACCCACTCATCTTCTACTTGTTTTAAAAGGCTCACTGAAATAGTTCAGTCAGTTTATGTTTCTTGGCACGCTTACAGAACCTCAGTTAGTTCATTTGTTGCATCAAGCATATTGTGAACAGGGGAAGCTCTGAACAGTTTCCTTGCACAGTTGCACCTGTTTATAGCCTGGCATGCTTCTATGATGGATATCACCACATGGGCTTAGGAATACTTTGACATATTGTTGTCAATAAACACAGTTCATCGCTCCATCTACAAATGCAAGTTAAGATTGTACTATGCCCAGTGAAAGCCATATATCAACAATGACCAGAAACACCACTGACTTCTCTGGGCTCATCAGAAATGGACATGTATCCTTATAGAAATGTATACTTTTTACCTTAATTATTTTGTAATATAGGTATTAATTGTTTAGTATTTGTATTATCATACCTTACCAAAACCAATACCTTGTACATGCAGTTGGACCAGTGATTCTGATTCTGATGCTATACAGCTTTCTCACTTTTGAATCATTTACAGTTCTTTTTTAGAGCTTTCTACTTTCCTGTTAATTATTTGAAACCTGTTAAGTTGCACAGGACTAGCACTTCATCAAAAAAACTAATTTATTGAAAACTTTTGAACAGAAGTGGATGATGGTGTAAATCTATTTAGGAAACAATTCAGTGCGTTATAAAAATTCCCCACATTTCAATTTGATTCCTTTAATTTGGTATGATTCAGCATTAATGCAAATGTAAGTAGAGGAAAATAGACAAAATGTAAAAATACTGTCTCTATCAGGACAAAACCTTGTATCTTGTATATTTTTGTATACATGATTTGCAAATACCCACAGCCCTTTACATTGTGTAGGTGATATTACTAACAGTCACTGAGCACTTTATTCGCAACACTTGTACACCTGCCCGTTCATGCAGTTATCTAATCTGCCAATCCTGTGGCAGCCTTGCAGAGCATAAAATCATGCACGTACAAGATGGCAGCTTCAGATAATGTTCACATCAACCATCAGAATAGAGAAAAAATGTGATCTCAGTGATTTTGACTCTTGCAGGAATGTTGGTCCCAGATGGGCTGGTTTGGGTATTTCTGCTGATCTCCTGGGATTTTCACGCACTACAGTCTTGAGAGTTTACTCAGAAGGGTGCAATAAAGAAAAAACATCCAGTGAGTGGCAATTTTGCAGACTGAAATGCCTTGTTGATGAGAGAGGTCAATGGAGAATGACCAGATTGGTTTGAGTTGACAGAAAGGCTATGGTAACTCATATAACCACTCTGTACAACTGTGATGAGCGGGAAAGCATCTCAGAATGCACAACATGTTGAACCTTGAGACGGATGGGCTACAACAGCAGACAAGCATGTGAGATTCCATTTCTCTCAGCCAAGAACAGAAAACTGAGGCTGCAGTGGGCACAGGCTCATTTAAACTGGACAGTTAAAGACTTTAAAAAGTCTGGCCTGAGAATTCTCAGTTTCTGCTGAGGCACACAGATGGTAGAGTCAAAAATGTGGTGCCAACAGCATAAATCCATGGATCCAACCTGCCTTGTGTCAACAGTCCAGGCTGGTGGAGGTGGTGTATTGGTGTGGGGAATGTTTTCTTGACACACTTGGGGTCTGTTATTACCAGTCAGTCATTGCTTGAATGCCACAGCCTAACCAAGTGCATCCCTTTATGGCCACAATTTACCCATCTTCTAATGGCTACTTTCAGCATAAGGCACCATGTCACAAAGCAAAAGTCATCTCAAACTGCTTTCATCAACATGACAATGAGTTTAATGTTCTTCACTGGCCTTCCCACTCACTGGATCTGAATCCTGTAGAACATTTAGGATGTGGTATACTGGGAGGTTCACAGCATGAAAGTGTACTTGATGCAGTCATGTCAACATGGACCAGAATCTTAAAGGAATGTTTCCAACAGAATGTTTCCTGAGGAATTGAGGATGTTTTGAGAGCGAAATATTTTTACATTTACTACCATTAAAATTAGCAATGTTTTGTTTTTCTTTTTCCTGTAAATTTACTATTTTGGATATACAGAGTTTGGTACTGACAGCAACAGTATGCTTTCATATTTCCATAACCGTGTACCAGCAATATCCAGACCAGCACTAAGTGCTTCATAAGCCCATTCAGTGTCACATTATCAGTAATTAAGCGTCATTTAAAGCCCACTGAAAAATCTTCCAGCACCTTTCAGAGCCTAGCACCGCTGCTAGCTTCTGCCATAGAATGTGATACACAGAAATGACCTTTTAAAACCATTTAGACAGATTTTACTGGTTCATCCAGAAACTCGGTCACTCTGCTGGCCGGCTGACCAAGCTATGTTTAATCTTTATCAGTGAGTCTTCAGCTTGAGTTTTACAAGTCTGCAAGTCCAAACCCCTCCATGCTGCTTGGCCCGCAGCCCCAACACCTGGTGAAAGATTGTACTCCTCCAGGGCACACACAAAAAAACTCTCTCATGACATCATTCACACTCAACCAGAGACAGGACAGAATTCTACAGACTGGGGGCAAATACTTTGTGGTTAGTACAGCAGATGGAGAAAGTAAGTGCTTCCATGAGAAGATGAGAAAAAAGGATCCCCAGTTCACAACTGAATGACAGTAGTTTCTAATCCGAAATTTGCTGCGTTCTTCAGATCAAATTACTGCTCTGCGTTTATTGCAAGGGATGTGTTACTGTTTTTTGTAGGTGACTTGATTTTGACTAGTTTCATTTGATGTCTGTATCTGTAACACCCACACATCCAGCATGAATACAGTGTAGTGTTACTAGCATATGACGTTGCTTTAACATGTTTGATACATGTTCAGTTGCCAAATTTGTAAAGCAGCTTAAAAGAAAACTCCACCATCACTTTTAGTTTAATTTTAATATGTTAATAAACAAAGTTAACAGTCCACAGTAGGTAAATCTCTGAGTGAGAGAAGCCTTTGTATAATCCTTTCCTAATTCCAGTGTCGTCTTTTGTCTCTAACAATGAGCTGAGTGCCAGAGCAGGTTTGAAAAAAAAACCAGCTCGGGTCTGTACCTGTCTTTTGTCTCTCATCCCCCTCCTCCATTCCTCTGTTGGCAAGCATGGTTTAGTGTCTTCTGTCCTCTCTTACAGCTGGAAGGTTTTTTGGGTTAGTAGGTCTCGAGGCACATAGTCAAAACATATTGGAACAAGACAAGATTGAAGCAGATTATGACAATAAATCATAGCATCATTTAACCTACGAAGCTAAAACAAGTGTGATGACGTCTTGGCAGAGTACTGTTGATGGTGTAAATCTTGGCCATACTGCTTGTCAGAAACACCACATGAAATCATAGTCCTCTGAAAATGCATTCAGTGTGTTTGTCTGTGTGCAGGCTCCTGGCTGGTGCGCCCAGAGAGAAAGCTTCATCCCGACTCAAAGTAAATGAGACCGGAGCCGTATATTCCTGCCCTATTACCACTGATGTGACGGACTGCACCAGAGTGGAGCTCATCACTTCAAGTAAGCTGATTGCCAGTTTAGGGGAAAGTGTGCAAATTACCAGTAATAACTAAAGTTTACATTTACTTAATTTTCCCCTTACCACAATTGTTGATCAGCCAAAGTATGTTTGGTGTCTGAAGTTTGCTTGTTTAGCTTTGGGCTGGAGCTACGAGGCCAATGTAGCTAACATTCAATGTAAGTTTATACTCCCACCAGTTAGCACTGTATGCATAAATCATCACACACAAACAGTATTTTAGAGTTCAGTGATTCAAATAGGAAAATCAATACAGTGAAAATCAATACAATGTCTGATTACGAATTTGAGGAGCACATTTTCTGCACAAATGAGCTTCAGTTGTATATGTTTAAATATACATGTCACATGACATGAATTGTGTCAGTTGGACCTGTAGCTACTAAACTCTCTCCTGCTAGTTTGTGGATCATTGCCAAAAGCCACAGTTTGCATGCACGTGCATTGGTAGGAAATTGGTGGTAACGAACCAGACATTTACGGTGACTACTGACTTGCAGTGTTTTTAGCACAATTAGCCTAGCAGCTCCAGCTCTGAAATAAATGTTCTATTTTACGCTGAATTGTATATTAATATATCCTTTGAGGACTTCATATAATTCATAAAGCAGGCTAAAGGAATACTCCAGCATTCTTCAACCCCATCTCTACATGCTGCATCTATAGCCTACGGTTGAATGTCATGGACCATAATTTTGACACATTCCCTTTGCCTAGTAAAAGAAGAGACAACCTAAAGCACCTACCCTTTTTTTCTATTATGGTTGCGAGGCAAAAGGTTTCTGTTCCTTTCTAAATTCAAGATCAAGATGAGGCTAAAAAAAGGAATATTCTTTGAAAATGTTTTAGTTACGTTTTTTTGCAGATTTTAAAATTATCTATATTATTGTTTGATATTTTTGTTTTGTTATTGTTTTCTTTTTGATCACTTACATCTATTTTTTTCTGCTTTTTTTGTAAATCACTTTTAGTTTAACTTAAAGAAGTTAACAGTCCACAGCAGGTAAATCTCTGAGTGAGAGAAGCCTTTGTATAATCCTTTCCTAATTCCAGTGTCATCTTTTGTCTCTACCAAATGAGCTGAGTGCCAGAGCAGGTTTGAAAAAACACAGCTCAGGTCTGTACTCGCCTTTTGTCTCTCATCCCCCCTTTTCCATTCCTCTATTGGCGAGCATGGTTTGGTGTCCTCTGTCCTCTCTTACAGCTGTGTTTTATAAAGTAGTTGCATTTTTAGCCTGTAAATAAGGTCCATGCCATTTTAATAAGCAGTTTTTGTTTAAATGAGTTTGCATAGCTTTTAGGCATAATATAAGATTTTGGCATGTATTTGTGGAACATTTACGGTGACTACTGACTTCAATGCTCCAGCTCTGAAATAAATATTATATTTTAGGCTGAATTATTCCTTTAAGGACTTCATAGAACGTGAATACACACATCATTTTCTTATACGTGTAAATACGTTTACAGTTATAGGCAGCATGAGCAACAATGGGTGGTCTTTTTTGTACATTCTTCTGGGACTCTTGAGCATGTTATGTATGTCTTATGAAGTCTTTAAGTAGTGACCTTCCTAGGTGTTTCTTGTGAAGTTTTCACATGACAAATCTTTAGTTGACTGGTTAAGGTTACAGCTTGTTATGCATTCATTTGAGCACATTTTAGTCAATGCCTAGCAAGTCTTCGGTCACCACTGGTGATGATGATAATGATGATTATTATTATTATTAATAGTATTATTATTAGTAACATTATTATTATTGTTATTATTGTAGTAGAATAAATACATACTGTCATTCAGTTAAATGAATATACTCATATTTAACAGTAGAATTGCATGGGACTCTTATTATGATAGCACTGTCATTTCTCATGAACGCAAGTGAAGTTTTCGAGTGCTGGAAATGGAGAGGAGTTAGTTCTGTGTTCTCTGTGGATTTGTTTGATAATTCTGTTCATTTCTTAATTCTGACAGTGTGTTATTATTTTAAAAAACTTAAAGTAAAAAAAAATACCTTGGCTGCCTTAAAAGTTTGAGTACATTAAACCTCTAATAGTAAATTAACAGAATTATAATCTTTGTCTTACATTCATTTCAAACTTATTATTTAAAGTTCAATGAAATCAAAATTTTAAGGCTACTAGTTAGTTAAAACACCGAATGATTTTTTACAGTGTCGTTTCTCATGGTTATATGTAAATTAGGTTTCAAATAACCCAACCCACAAGATCAAGAAAATAGTTTCCAAAATCCCCTCCTCTTATTCTCAAAGGTCGCAAAATGCCCCAACAAGCTCCAACACAGCCACAGCAAAACCTCACCTGTCTGAGTGTCTCACCACAGGTTATTATGTTCAAAAGTCTAGTTCCCCTCCCTCGCCCCATCCCCCACGCCCCCCCCAGGTGAGCGATGATTGGCTAGTATCACAGCCAGACATAGCCACAGGTTCAGTCTCTGCAGAAGGTTTGGGACCAGGTTACTTATCAAGGTTACTCCTCTTTGAAGTTAGGATTATTCCACTGAGGTGAACGAGGGTATAGTGTAGGTTCAGTTTTGGTACAGCCCATAGTCTTTAATTTCACCTTCTATGAATGTGCTTTTCACTTAGTGTTTGAGGTTTCGTACTTGCTGTGGGATTGCTCATTTGTTACTGGCCCTTAGTATATTTTAATGATCTACCTCATAAATATGACTCATATGTGGTCTGTAGTCAGTGACAAATGCTGGAATCCTGAAATAACAGGCATACAGATATAACAATGCCATGGTTTTGTCAGTTGTTTATGTTGAAAGAAATATGTTATCGGTCTAATTATGTTGGGCGATTTCTTCTGCAAACATTGCACTTCCAGGTGTAATGCTGAGCGCGTTAGACCTCATGTGGTGCGTAAGCTGAGCTTTTGTTTCTTAAATAAACAGTCGCCTGCCCTTATCTGATCACTGTTCACTCTGTTGGTTTTTGGATCACAAGCGGCTTGAAAGCTGTTTACACCTGCTCTGGCTGGCCTTGATATCTTTTCAGCAGGGATTTGATAAGAGTCAATGACTGAACAAAATGAAAAGTCTCTGCTATTGCGTTACTGTTAATATAAACGTGCAGGTATGCAAACGCTTCTGCTGCGGCCTTTGTCTCTGAATAACTCTCACACGTGGGGGCCGAAATGTTAGTAGTGCCTTTTCTGTTAGTGTTGTAGTCAAGACCACTAGAGGAGAGTCTGAGTGAAGACCAAGACCTGGACACATTGAGTCTGATTTAAGATCAAGACTTTGTACTAGTCAAGTTCAAGTCAAGATTGAGACCAGATTAAGCTTTTTTCAGAATAGAAAAATGAAAAGAAGAAAGGGGGAAAATCTTTATTATACATGATTTTAGAATATATTTTGTAAAACATAAAATTCAGTCATTTATAGCATAAAATTATTAGTAGTTGTTATTATAACATAATCTTAGTCCCACTTTGTATTGTAGCTTTTGGAAACAAATGATGAAGAGGTTATTCTCTGTCACCTTCTTCTCTAAAACATATTCAGAATCACCACCTAAAGTCAACTGACCAAACAACATACATCCATTTTTATTAAACAGTCCTGCCAAGTTAAGCCATCGTGGAAAGGGCCAATTCGAAGCAAACAGATTTTATTTCAACATATAGCTAAAGCAGGGGTCTTAAATTCAAGTAATCTGGGGGCCACTAGTCAGGTGGTCTTCTCCAAGAGAAGAAAAATGTAGGGATAAAGAAATTAAAATCAATTTTAACTACATTTACGCACTCATTTAAACCCGCAATTTGCGGGCAAAACAGTAGGTCATTTCTAGCCTTCATAACTTCAGAACGGTTTAAGATTCAAACATGATCCACATATCAGGACATTCAGCAGACCTGTACCTAACTAGCAAGCATGACGTCATCGAGCTGTGACAGCATCAGTGAGTAATTCGGCTTAGAAAATCACCTAAAATCCTGATGTTATTACTCTGCTGTGTGGCCTTCATATTCCTTAAAACAGGGACATGATTCACACATCAGATCACTCATCAGACTCTGCCCTCACAATCCAGAGTGATTTCATCCAACCTGTGACCATCTATCAGCCAGAAATCCAGCTCCAAAATCACCCAAAACCCACTCGCTACTGTTATATTACGTCTCTGCTTTTAGCCTTCATATTATAAACAAAGGGCTTTCAGTTACATTGATTTTGAGTATTAAAAATATCTGATATTAAATATGCAACTCAATTTGTAGTTAAAAATAAAGCCTATCTTGCTGTGTATCAGAGTTTTAGCACCGAGCATGAATCCAAGAGGACAGAAAATCAATAAAAATACATGTCAGCCTTATGATAATTGTTTATTTTTACTCATAATAACCAATAGACGAATCACCACCAAAAATTATTGTGATTTCAGCTCACAGACACTCCAGACTAACAATTTCTGAAAAGATAACTACTACTGCACTTGTTTTCAAGATCTCTATAATTAAAAAAATACAAAATTTTGCAGGCGCTAGGTAAATTTCTTGATCAGAAATGACCCAAATTTATAAAGATATCAAATTTCTGTTAGCATTTACATATCAAACAATGGCATATCTGAGAAGCCCAGGGTCTTCTGAAAATAACAACATATGGAATGCTTAGCAAGTCTTCAGTCACCACAGAGCACTGCTACTACTGATGATGATGATGATGATGATATTATTATTGTAGAGGAGTGGATACGTAGAGTGTCTAATAAACATTTAGCGCTGACTTGAAATAAATAAACTTAAACTTAACAGTAGACTTGCATGGAACTCTTATTATGATAGCATTGTCATTTCTGATGAACGCAAGTGATGTTTTCGCAGTTGAAGTGCTGGAAACGGAGAGCAGTTCTGCGTTCTTTGTGAATTTGTTTGATATTTCTGTTTGTTTCTTAACTCTGATATGGTGTGTCTACCGGACTGAAGCACTATAACACTGTTTTCTACCCTGCCCATTTGTAAGCAGACCTTATCTTAGATAAGCTACCTTATCTAAATCATTAATTCCCAATCCTTTATTTCTGTTCTTTCCATAATATAATACAACTTAAAGAGTTTTAGAAAGGTTTGATACGATAAATCTATGTTAGTGGTGCATCATGTCACTAAACTATTGGATTCTGTTAATTTTTTGACTATATATAAAATTATACCAATATTACCAGTTATTAGATTTTTTAAGACTTCTTAAAGTCTATGAAACTAAAGAATAGGGAATAAGTGATATAAACATTTCACTAGCTTTTCTGAATGGGCTGATGTTTCAAAGAGTGGACTGATTGGACCATATACCAACTGATTGTGAATGCTCTGATTGTGTCAGTAGCCTAAATATTTCCCTTGTGTTCTTTTGCTTATTTATGTTGTCTCTCCAATAGCGGACTCATCTGAGATGATAGAGGGCATGTGGCTGGGGGTGACAGTAGCCAGTCAGAGAGAGCAGCCTGGTGGACGAGTGCTGGTATGTTTCTCTCGTAATGGTTAAAATGGAGAAACATAATAACCTCTCGATTTCCGCTGGTCCTTAACTAGAAGGGTGTCATGGAATGTTGTGTCAGGAATCATATGATACTGCATTTACACTGAAATAATGTAGCACAATGACAGTAATTACTTAGAATAGACTTCTACGTGTTAAAGGCTGATGCTAAATCACCTCATGGTAGTGTTGCTAGTTTCTGAAGAATATTTTTGTTTCATTTATACCTTCACATTGATTGATCTCCCTCTCATGCTTGACAGGCTTGTGGTCACCGCTATGTAAAAATAGTGCGCGGGGGCACGGAGGAGCAGCGGAGAATGGTGGGCAAGTGCTTTGTCCGGGGCAATGACCTGACATTTGACCATAACGACGACTGGCAGACCCACACATATGAAGTGTGCAACCCCAACTTTGATATGGAGCTGGAGGGCATGTGCAATATGGGCATCTCTGCAGGCATGACGGAGAGTGACGTCTACATCGGCTGCCCTGGCAGCTACCTGTGGCAGGGTAGGTACCATTAGCACTTACCCTGGGACAGAGGAAAATGGATGAATGGAAGCAGAGTAATTAAAATATGGAAACAGTTGTAAGAATAGAGCAGGGGTTCTCTGTCCTGGTCCTGGTGTATCTGATCCGACTCAACCCGCATTCAAATGACAAGGCTTTTTTCTTCTCTGAAGCTGCATGTAAATTTTAGACATTCAGCTTATTTTGTGACTGAAAATCTAATTGATTCCTGACCTCAGAATCAACACATGTTGGTGTGGGGATCCCTCAGTAGACCACTACTAAAAAATACACTATATATCCAAAAGTACCCAGTTCAATTAGTTAATTCACTTACTTGAAGGTGCATCCCATTGCGGACACAGGTGTCCATGACAGCTTGTGTACTCTCGAAAGAGTAAATCTCTAAAGTTTTGCCAAAGAATGGGATGCTCTGTGTGAGAACACAACGTAACATGACGATGGTAAACACCTCCATCAAGCTGAAAAGGAAATGATTTCCTACAGCCAAAATGTTCATACATCTCAACTGTAAAACAACAACACGTTAAATTTAACCTACAAAGCCTTCAGAGAGGCACACAGCATTTTGGGAGTTCTTTACACGCTCTCCTCCGCTCTCCCAGTTGGCCCAAACCTTAAGTCAAGTAGTGGCGCAACAATATTAATAACCCACATATAAATATATGTGTCTTTATCACAAAATACTGATTTGGGGTGAGCTGCTGATTCAAAACTAATAACTAATGCTCTTGTGGCTGAATTAAATCAAATCCTCACTGCACTGTTCCAAAATCTAATGTAAAGCCTTCCCAGAAGCGTAAAGGCTGTTATTACAATAAAAAGGAGAACAAACCCCATATTAGTACCTTTGATTTCAGATGAAACATGGGATGAACAGATGTCCACAAACTTTTGGATATCATGTACGTGCTACTTACCAGCATAACTGGTTAACTTTGAATGTGAGCTGATTGAGTATGTAACTTTGTTTATCAGGCAATGTCCATGTAACGTGGAGAGACACCAAACCGGAGAACTCTTGGGATTACAACGTCAAAGACTTTGAGCCAAAGGACAGGCGGAACAGCTACATGGGTATGACATCATTTTTATTTGGAAGCTAAATGCAGTAAGTGGTGAGTAGAAACTAGTTCCATTTATTCAGATACATGTACCTGTATAATGTATAATTTTGATGGATTTGAACTTCTCTGAGAATTTTCAGATGACAAAACTTTTATTTATATTCATGATTATATATTTAAAAAAAAATATCTGGCAAATTTTCAAGCTTTATCGGTTTGTTTTAGACCAAAAGGATCCCAAAAAAGAGAAGAATGTCATCTGACAAAATTCAGTTCCTAAAACTAGATACTGGATGCACCAAGAAGTGCCACTGCAGTTCTGTAGTAAACTCAGGTCTCCAGGAGAGTTTTGACCTTTTTTGGTTTTGACCTACTTAAACTTTTTCGCTGTTCTACTTTTACTTCTACACGAGTCAATATTTTAATAAAGTAACAATACTTTTACTGGAATGTGGGTTTGGATACTCTGTCCACCTCTGAATACTGGTCACATTATCAAATACATGATTGTCTCATAGTTATGTGATATTGACTGAAATTGCTTTGATTTTTAGGATACTCTGTTACTGAACATAAGAAGTTACTGGACAGAAAGGAGTACACTGTGGTCACAGGGGCTCCCAGAGATGAGTCCAGAGGATCGGTTACTCTAGCAACGAAAGGGAAGTCCAACATTGAGGTCAAGCAGACAATTGTAGGGGAGCAAGTGGGCTCTTACTTTGGGAGCAGCATAGCAGTGACAGACCTCAACAATGATGAGTAGGTCACTTTCCCTAACTCAGCCTAACACCATTTACTATGTATTCACAGGTAAAAACAGCCCATGAAAAGTTTGGCTTAGCCTTTGTAATTGTATTTTCAGTATGTACTTATAACAATAGTTTGGAGAAGAGAACTATCAAATCACTATTTAGGCAAAACCTGCTCTTTATACCATTTTCATGAACATGAACCTGACTGGTGTAAAACATAACCAAATTATTAGTGAATTGCTATTTTATGCAGCATAAATACATATAGGCCATATGGCATTGAAGGGAATTGCTGGCATTGCTTGAATTTTCTTGCCACCCACCATTCCCACACCTTCCCTTGTTATCCCTTACCTGTTTTATGTTAGTTGAGCTCGGAGGAGGCAGACCAAAGCATCTCTCCTCACTTATCTCAAATTACGTTATGCCCCAGCAGTTGCATGCTTGTCAGCTTTCATACAGACACCCGTTGATTCACAAGCCTTCATCAACTTGTCAACAGGTTGGCGGCTGAAAGCCTTTTTATGACAGGTCGCTTGCTCTTCTCTGAAAAAAAAATGTGAAATGCAATGCTTGTGTGGTAAAGGGAAATAAACAAAACTAAGGGAAGTCTGCTTTTGCTTAATCTCTTTTTGAATTTCTGCCTTAGCTGGAACGACCTGATCGTTGGAGCACCATTTTACTTCGACCGCTACAAGGAGCAGGGCGGAGCGGTGTATGTCTTCATGAATGAGAATGGATCATTTGAAAAGAAGATAGTCCTGAAGGGTGTAAAGGATTCAGCATTTGGATTAGCTGTGGCAGCTATAGGAGACGTCAATCAGGATGGATTTCAAGGTGCTGTGTTTTTTAATTAATTAATTTTGTTTGTTTTTTAAAGGCTCACAATCTCCGTTCTAAGTGATCCCAAAGATATTCGATGGGGTTGAGGTCAGGGCTCAGGGCGGGCCAGTCAGGTTCACCCAGCCAGCCATAGGCTCAGTCATGCTGAGACAGAAACCGGCCTTCCCCAAACTGTTCCCACAAAGTTGAAAGCATACAATTGTCCAAAATGTCTTGGTCTGCTGAAAAGATTTCCCTTCACTGGAACTAAGGGTCCTAGGCCAACCCCTGAAAAACAACCCAATACCATAATCCCCCCTCCGCCAAACTTTACAGTTGGCACAATGCAGTCAGACAAGCAACATTCTCCTGGCATTCTGCATGGCTGGGTGCTTGATTTTGTACACCAGTGTCAATGGGACTGAATGAAACACCTGAGTTCAACTGTCGTGTTGCTGCCACCTAAAGGACAGATAAATCCTGCATGATGGAAGTTAAAGTGCTGTCTCCACTATATGTGACAAATCCTGTTGAAAAAAAGTACGATATAAATAACCTTTGACTTGACTAGAGTTGACAATTTTGGTCTGTTGTGTCAGATTTTGCAGTGGGAGCTCCTTTCCATGATTCTGGAAAGGTCTATGTGTGGATGGGCAGCAAGGAGGGCATAATGAAGGACTACAGCCAGGTAATGTCAAGCCTAATCTTATGTTCTCTGTGAATATTGGTTTAATAAGCTATTTCAGCGGAAAGGTGCTGTTTCTCATTCTGAATCAGCAGATGTTGTTTCAGGAGAATTTAGTGTAGAACAGTGGTCAGCAATGCTTCTCCTAGAGATCTTGCTTCCTGCAAGTCTCCAAGAACATGGCTGGAGACCACTGGTGTATAATGTATTGACTATAATACTTTTTCTTCCTAGGTTATTGAAGGGAAGTCTGTGGGCACCGGTGGGTTCCAGACATTTGGCTATTCTCTCAGTGGAGGCATGGACATGGATGGAAACAAATACCCTGACATCTTGGTTGGCTCGCTTGACGACCGCATAGCCCTTTTGAGGTATTCAGTTATTTATAAAAAATACTGTCACACTGACAGAGATTAGGGTCCAGGTATAGATTTAATAATTCATAATTCAAAAACGCACAGTTAACAGAGAGCTGAAATCAACAAAACACAAACAGCGAGATCATGTAAGGCTGGGAGATCAAGGAAACCCAGAAATGGAAGTAGATACTAACACTTGATGTGCTATGAGAAATACCACAGTTAGAAGTTCCTGGCCTAAAAAAGCTGCACATGGGACATTGCTTTTCAAATCGTAATTAAAAGAAGCTTTTGAAACGGTCTTGATACCTGGGTTTGCGACTTGTTGACCTTTAACCTCTTTCACCAAGGCAGAGGAAAGAACAGATTCACGGGTTGATGGTAGGAAATTCTTTATTTTCTCTAAATGCAGCTTACTTTTAGCAATTAGGCCACAGTCATTAACTTACTGTAACCGCTGGTTGCATTATGTACATTTCTACAATGGGGCACAAGATAACAAAACTATTAGGAGGATGCCAAAATAGATAGGCTAACTAGTTATTGTTGGCAGCACATTCACCTGAAAAGCTTGATGAGCAGGCTTCAATCTTAAAAATAAGGGAGCCAAAAGGGTTTTGCTGGAGCAATGCCATAGAAAAAAACGCTTTTGGTTCCCTTTTGGTGATCAAGTACCATGGAAAATCGTTTAAATTGATTTCCCTGTACTAAGAATAGACAACTGATTAACTTGAAACACATATTGGCACCTTTTACAAAGCACTTGAATGCAAAGACCTCAAAAACTTAAATAGTGCGGGAACAGAACACAAGTGAGACAGACACACTTAATAATGAGGTGACAGGGCCCTCTAGTGGCAAGAACTGGAATCTCCAGGCAGTGAAGTGGCAGCTTCTTAGTGCTGGGCAGTGTGGTGGGGTAATGCAATACAGTAATGTAATATTTTTTCCCTGTAATATAGTAGTGTATAACATGACAGTTTAAATTATTGTAATCACGTTACAGTTACTGACATCATAAGAATGATAATAACTGATTAATTTAGATTGTTAGATTAAAAGAAAATACCATTGTGTAGTATAACAACTTTGCATTGCTGTAAACAAGCAATCTGGTTATCATAGCATGTAATCCAATATGAAAAGGCCCCATTTTGAAGAAATAAGTTCTGCTGTTCTGTATCTAACCTGAATAGGCCAGACTTGATTTTTGTTAATATCTCAAATGCTGTAGGTGTAAATAATGTGATTTGTTGTTAAACCATTCCAGCTGTTTGGTAAGCTATACATTATTTGATTCATGAAGCTTTTAAGTACAGACAACTGTTTTTTGATTAGAAGTTTGTGGGTTTTCAGATAATATTAGCCAAGTTCAAGTTCACAGCTCAGACAGGTAAAGTGACATACCTTTAAAAGGTGTTCAGTGTGGCTGCTTCTTTGTAAATACTTAAAAAAAAAGTACGGAATTAATTATTGGTTATCATTCTTTGTACTTTCCAGTTGTTACAGATTTGTTTGGGTTTTAACGAGTAAAGCAATGAGGATTGACATGACTTTTTCTAGGAAGTAATAACTAAAATAATCTCATTGAAGTCTCATTTGTAATGGATTTCTTTTTGAGAAACTAGTGGTATGTTATACTCAATTTTATGCTCAATTTTTTATCCTTATTTTTGTTTAGGGCACGTCCGGTCATCCATTTATCCAGAAATTTCATGGTAGAGCCGAAGATTGTTGACCCCAGCCAGTGCAAGGGTGCTTGGTGAGGAGACTGCTTTCCTCATAGATTTGAGTGGAATACCAAAGTAGATGAAACGTTTGCCTTGAGTCTGTATTCTGGTACTCTTAACTGAAACTCTTGAAACGTATTTGCAGTGTGACAGTGAAGGTGTGTTATGCCTATACACTGAGCAATGGAAACCGTGACTTCAAGAACGACATTTGTAAGTGATAATCAGACACGCATGTACACTACAGGCCAAAAGTATAGAGGCGAGCAAAAATATTTTACAGTTAAGTCAGTTTGCCAAAAACTTGATATAACACGTTACACTCTTATTAGCTTAGAGTTTAACGTGAATTTAAGCCTGAATGAGTCCCATGAGGGCCTGAATGAGTCTCAATGAGGTTTTTAAACCTAAGTTGCTGTGTTCTGCAGCTAAAGTGCACCTACTATCCAATTGCATTGCATTTAAAAACCACACATCTGCTTTGAGATGCCGCTGTGCCTGGGGTTTCTTTAACATCACCTGTGGACATACAGGAGGACACTGTTAAACTGATTAAAAACACTTTTGCATGACTTCTCACACTACATTCACTTACTGTTTTAAACCTCTGTTGAGAAGAGTGTTTGCCAACAAACTGAATGTAATATTTTACAGTTTATAGACTCAAACATAGTTGTATTTAGTGCACAGTCTTTCCCTGTGCTTTAGTGAAAACCTTAACATTATTAGCAGTTATATACTGTATATATATTATAGCAGCTAATAACGCTGCTGCTTTGGTGCTGGATGGGCGAGCAGTACATATTAAAATAACTGTTTGAGAATGTGTAAGAGAATATGTGATACTGTCTGTTTGTTGTTGTATGGGCAGACATCTGTGAGAAATATATAAAGAACTGCCGTTTTTTTACGAAACCTCAGCAATGTATGACAGTTGTAGATATGAGCACAAGTGTTTTGGACGCATGAATGAAACAAATGACGTGAGAAATTTAGACGTGAACCAACATTAAGCACCATTGCATGCTTAGATGTACCTTATGTTTGTCTTTGGAAAATGATATAAACACAATATTGAAATTTTAGTTATGCCGCCCGCAGCCAGGATCAGGTAGACCCATGCTTGTTTTGGCAGAGCCATTGTGGTTAATTAAACAGGCAGCTGCTGAACCTGTTTTAAACTGCCAATAAACCAGTGCTAAGTTAATGACAACAATAGCCCCAAGACATTTTTCCAGAATATTCTATTGGTTTGCAGTAGTGTGCTCTAACATATTCTGTAGGACTCCATTAATTGAGAAGTTTGTCATTCTTTAAAAACTCCTATTGTAGAATACCTCATTCAGTTCATCAAGCATTTGGGAGCATCTGAATCAGGTGGATATAAAACTCAGCTGCAGTAGAACCCAGCAGGAGAATCACCAGGAGCTAAACTAATTAAGAATATATTATCTGTATTATTGCTGCAGATCCAAGGCGTTTTACATTTACAACACGCTAAACTGTCTTTCCTGCTTTATGTAATTTAGTGTTAGTGTTGGCTCCAAACTTTTGGCCTGCAGTGTAGATATGATTAATAATCTAAATGCCTCCAGAGCGTTGAGTTAAATGTTTCCATGTCCTCGTCTCTTCTCAGCTGTGAAGTACACCATAGAGGCTGACCGTGCTCAGCGCAACCCAAGGGTCCAGTTCGTTGACACCAAGCTGAACACCTACACAGGTGTCTTGGCCTTCTCCTCCCCCACCTGCCAGGAACTCAAACTGAGTGTGAATGTAAGAGACACTTGCCTATATTTTGATACAGTGTAGTAATCCATGAAAGTGTAGGGCTGTGACAGAGCAGAAACACATCACAGTGTAGTACATAGTACTAGAGGTGTAAATGCGCATTGATGCGTCATTTTGAAGGAGAGCTGTTCAGCTGCTTTGAATCTGGAATATCAGTCACTTAAAATAAATTATAAAAATATTTAACAAAGAATGCACTTGTTTTTCAGTCATAATAATAGTCGTTGTCTCTTTTCTAACCCAAATATCAAAAATTCCTAGTATATTGGACTGCTATTATATTGGTTTATACAACCCCATTGCCAAAAAAGTTGGGATGCAAAATGTAAATAAAAACAAAATGCAATGATGTGTAAATCATTTAATCCCTGTAGTAAATAGTACAAAGACAACATATCAAATGTTGAAACTGAGAAATTTTGAATTTGATGCCAGCAACACGTTCCAAAATAGTCGGGGCAGAGTCATGTTTGCCACTGTGTTTCATCATCTCTTATTTTAACAAAACTCTGTAAGCATTTGGGAACTGAGGAGACCAACTGTTGTAGTTTTGAAAGTGGAATATTTTCCCATTCTTGTTTGATATATGATTTCAGCTGCTCATGCTGTTCGGGGTCTCCTTTATTGTATTTTTCATTTCATAATGCGCCAAATGTTGTCAATGGGTGACAGGTCTGGACTACAGGCATGCAGGCAGTTCAGCAACCGGACTGTTTTTTTACTGAGCCATGCTGTTGTAATACATGCGGGGTGTGGTTTGACAGACGTCATCTGGATGGCAGCATATGTTGCCAAAACATGTATATATCGTTCAGCATTAATGGTGCCTTCACATGTGCACCTCACCCATACCATGTGCACTAATGAACCCCTATATCATCATGATATATACTGGCTTTTGAACTGTGCACTGATAACAAGCTAAGGGGTTTTAGCCCAGAGGACATTTTAGATGAACTTAAGCCCAGAGAAGTTGGCGGTGTTTCTGGATGTTGTTGATTTGGCAAACACGTTTTCAATTGATTCTTCTGTCTACACTTCTTATCCTTGCATCTTTCCTTGTGTTCCCAGAGGGAGGAGCTAAGACACAAGGAAAAGATGTAAGGAAAGGAAATGAGGACATAAAATTAAACAAGATACACCCATAGTTAAGCAGTGTGAAGACAGCATTTGATTGAAGAGTGAAGTGATGAATGGGGTAAATGGTGTCTCCTAAATTGTGCAGCAACAGATAGGCTCCAGTCAGTAATTAGGCTCCTGTCAGTAATTTAATATTCACAAAGTGCAGCTATATGGTAGATGTACCTGATAAAATGGCCAATAAGTGCAGATACAAGGTAGGTGTACCTAATAATCACTTGGCTGCCCTGCAAGGACCTATTTGTTGTGTATAACAGACAGCATACAACTTGCACACACCTAAAAGCACATACTCCACTCATATATGCTCTGTGCTTTTCCCCTTTACAGGAGCAGGTGAAGAACAAGCTGGAGCCAGTGGTATTTCTGCTGAATGTGTCCTTACACGAGCCTGAGGTCAAGGCCCAGCAGGCCCTGCAAAACCTGGATGCGTTCCCTGTGCTTAGCAGCAAGCAAGGAGTTACTGAGAAAACTGAGGTTGTAAAACAATAATAAAGTTGCAAATAGTTTAATGAGACCATGTAATAACTGTGGTGATATCTATGCCATTTTAGATCAACTTCCGAAAGGAGTGTGGTTCTGATAACAAATGCAGCAGTAATCTACAGGTGAAGGCAGTGTTTGTGAATGAATCCCAAAAACCCTTCCCTAGGTGAGTTGCGAGAAAAGATATTAGTGTAGACATTCAATATGGCAAAAAACCTGATCGCAGTATGTGCAATTCCTAGTTTTGAAGTATTTTGTACCATGTAGAATGCAGCTACTTGGACAAGCAAATAATTGATCATTTAATGATAAGCTAAGTTGCAGTGGCTTGGGTGATCTCTTGTGATCTAAAGACCGCAATATAATCAGTCAGCACTTTTTCTCTAACTTTAGAAAATACTGATCAAAATGTTGGCTAGCTTTCTTCTGAGATGCCCATGTTCCTGGACCTCGCTTGTAGTTCAGGCTGAGCAAAGATTCTGGCAAGCCAGTTAGCACAGTTCAAATCAAGCTAAGCAATTGCAAAACAAAAGGGAGGAGTTTGCTGGTTGTATAATGCTGCCCTGCCACTTTTATGAGAATCTGAAGAATGTAATAGTATTGAGGAAGAATAAAATAACCTTTTCAGAGTGACTAAGATGAATGGCTGCCCTGCTAATTTTGAAAGAATTAGCTAGTTGAGAGGGTAAATAAGGATTTTGAAAAGTGGAAACTATTAGATGCCTATGAGAACAAATTGCAGTTCCAACTCCAACTCGCTCTTTTATTCAAAAGTAACTTCTCGTGCTTTGTCCACAGTGATGGTGGAAGTCAGACCATAGAGTATAACAGCAACATTAAGAGGTTAACGCTACTTGTGGAGGTGACCAATCTACCTGAGCAGGGCAGGGAGGCAGAGGACGCTCATCAGGCAGTGCTCAACATCACAATCCCTCCGGCCCTGAAGTACTCCGGCTGGCGCCCACAGGTCAGACCACATGATGGCGCCCTTTGAGAGGGTTTACAACTGCTATGTCTTTGAAACATCACCTGCTGTGCAGAAATGGCTGGTAGTGCCAAAATTATTTTTTTTAATGTATGTATTATTTATTTTTATTTTCTTTAACAGGACGCAGACATTGTATGCAGACCCAACACAACTGTGATCTGTGAACTTGGGAACCCATTTAAGAGCAACAAGAAGGTAACTGCAACTGTCTGGAAAAAAAATATTTTTTATGATTGATAATCATAAAAAATGATAATCACTTTATGATTATGATTTCCCAAAGCTTTCATAGTAATACAGTCAAAAGCTTGCACAGCCTTACTCATAGTTTTTCTTACTTCTTTGAAAACACATCAAAAAGTGTTATCAAAACAGTCTCTTACAAACTGATTACAGGCATTTAAACATATGTATTTACATCAAAATGTTGAGAAGTATTATGAAACCATTATAAAATAACATGCAACAGACAATCAGATGAATGCTTGTGTAGACAGTCTTGATATAAGCACCCATACGCATAACTCTCATATATGAACGTTATATATTGTCGCTGTTATAAGTGTTATAAGGGTTCTACGTTTTTTATTTACACCGTTTTAAATAATACCATCTGCCCTTCATGCTTCCTATTATGCCCACAACATTTTATAACATGAAGACCATGCTTGTGGAGCTGCTACCCTCCATGGTGGGCTCCCTCAAATCAAAATTTTTCTGGTAAGATTGACTCTCTGTCTACGAATCTCAGATCAGAGATATCATTTATAAATTAAATGTTCTATTAAGAATATACAAAATAAGCTTGACACTCACAGAGTAATCTATGGGCGCTGGAGCGCGGTGCTACAGACCGTAGCACTGGCATTAGTGCACTGGAGGCTAACAGTAACTCACTGACAACCTGGGTGTCTTACTTGGACAGCAGATACAAACAAAGACCTGAAAAGCAGAATGCTGAGGAGCAACATTCACCTTCTGGGATTACCAGAGGGAGTTCTGGGCCCGCGATCGACGGAGTTTATGGCCTTGCTGCTTCAGGAACTGCTTGTCCTGTAGGAGTATCCGCTGCTAGATTGGGCTCATTGCATCCTGCGGAGCCAACCTCGTGATGGACAACCATTTTTTACCAGGATGCATTTTTTCAGCAATAACATTCTGAAGAGAGCCGGAGAGGCACCTCCTCTTTTTAATAAGTACAAGCCTCAATATTTGCAGACTAAACAATGCCTGTAGCAAAGAAACAGGCTAGCTTCAGAGATGTGAAGCGCCAGCTACACGCCTGCCTGGGCGTGAAGCTCAGCCTTCTGAGAACGTGAAGCTCAGGTTCTAAGACTGACTTTACAAGATGGGTCCAATAGAGTCTAACTGCAGACGTGCACTGTTACCGGTGATGTCACATGCACATGCACTCTCTGCTACAATGGCAGAAGTGGTTCAACCGCATGTTAATATTTGGCTGCTTCTGCTTAGCGAGTCGAGAGGAATCTTAAAACAGTATCATCATCATAGTTTTCTTATCCCATCTCAATATACAAAACATACCTAGAGAATTCCATTTAATTAATTTTTTCAAGTGTTTCTGCAAAAGCTTGTTTGCTTTTTCTGCTTAGTAGACTCGACATAATGTCTTGTCATTGTAGTAGGTTTTATTTTGTAAATCTTATTTTACTCCACTGTTATCACTATGACAATGCGTACCCCAACAGTACATGGTTTGCCAGACTCTTCTCCAGTGGCTCCACACACACATTCGAGGACCCATCTCTTGCAGCCGAATTTGCCCCCCCCCAACCCCCCCCCAAAAAAACACGTCAATATGTCTGTTGTACAGCAGGGTGGGGAATAAATGGTCGTTTAGCTGGGCTTGTTATTAGGTTAAATGGCTAATTAGCTGGCAGGCTGGCTAACTGGAAAAGTTGAAGTTTTGAATAATGATGTATGTGCCTTATTTTGTAACTTTTAATCCGCAGTGATGACTACACAGTTGACTCACAGTTGACTCATATGTGCGTATTTTTCTTTTTCTGCCCACATTATTGCTTGTTGTTTGTATTACTATTAGGCTATTTTGATCAAAGCCACCTCTTAATGTTTAGCTATTTGCACAGTTCATTCATAGCTTTGCTGTTCAACTTTTCTCATTGACTTTGAACCTTTCTTTACTGAGGTTAGCTTCTCTCATGCTGTACTGGGAACTAATTTATTTGTGTCACCATTGTGTCATCCTGCTCTAAAATGCCTCAGTGCCAACACTTAGTTGTTTGCACTGCCAGCCCAGCAAACACACAACATTGTCTCAACATTGTCTACTTTCTTACAGTTTTGCTACAACGGTGTCAAAAGGTGGTGCTGTTTACATTGTCTGAACAAGATTGTCATAACGTTGTCAGAACCTCATTATTCCCTAACGTTGCCATACAGTATTATGACTACCTGTTGGCAACTTCCATGCACAACATAATGGAACTTTCTAGGAGGTTGTGACAACGTACTGACAATGATGCCACTATGTTGTCACAATGTTGTCAGACAACGTTGTCACAACTTTCTGAGGAATTACATTTCAATGTTGTGATGACGTTATGGGCACCAAAACAATAGGTTGTCACAACGTTGTCACAGTTAAACTATTTGATGGGAGGTTACAATTATCACTTTAATCATTTTATTGACTTCAAACTTTTCTTGACGTTAGTCTTCTTTAAGGCTCATTTATACTCCCTTTACGTACGACAAAGAACACATCCGTTTCAAACGATGTAACCATCACTGCTCACTTCCACTCCTCCTTTATATTGGCATGAATGTTAAGCAGTACGTCCACTAGAGGGCAGTCCGCCGTCGCCATGTTTGGCCTCGCTCCTTCAAGAGCTGCTCATCCTGTAGGAGTAGCCGCTGCTGGAGGGCAAATGGTGATGGTGGAGGAGGTTGTAATAATGTGCCAACTACCAAAGAGACGAAAGAGGCACCAGTGCAGACTGTGGTGTTAAACACTTGTGACATGTGGACAGAGAATTCTTTTGACTTGTGTCTCGCATGAACTATGGCTACACTGCCCCCATGGCTTCCAGTGGTACTGTTCCATTTCCTTGTGTTGTTAATGGAAAAGTCTTTGAATTTAATGCTGCTTGCATGAATCACTGAGTGTACTGATGTAGTAAGAACCCAGTACTGTTTAAACTGAGGGACTGACAATTTTTTGAACTAGAATTAGACTGGTCAGTTGGCTAACAGGCTAAATGACAGTAAACATGCTAAACAAATCATTAATATCGCACGCTTAAATTATGGTACTTACTGTATGATTCACTGTAAAACAGCAATACTAAAGTCTAAAGAATATCACTTGAATTGCTTATATGCTTCAAATATTCCTGTTTTGTCAGAAGCAGCTTCAAACCCAGGTTGAATCTCAAACGGCTTCGAACTCTCTGCTGTGCAAGTTTTGAAATTCTAGCTTCTACAGCCAAATTGTGCAGTATTTGTCAAGTATGGATGTGGCTAAATCCCAAATGGGTATTTGTTAGCTACAGGGACGCACGCAGGAAGGTGTTTTACGTTGGGGGTGCTGAAATTTTAAGCAGTGTGACATGACCATGCAATATGATTTGCCATTTTTCCATTTGATTTTTTTTTTCTTTGGCTAATTTACATGAAACCGAGCATCACAGAGAGCTGTATTGAGGCAAGGGAGGATTATATATATACATATAAATGCCACATTAAACCACTGACACACATCAGCACTCTGCTCTCTAGTTCTGGAAAACTTTATGCAAATGAGCTGAGCAGTGACCCATTCAGATTGTTGACATCTGGCGCGCTAACCGATTGTGTCACGTTCACAGACACAGCGTGAGTTTTTAACACTGAAACGCACATGGAGCAAGAGACCGGTTGATTTAGGAAAGTCATCATTACCTTATGACTTTCTAAATTAAAAAAAAAAACAATATTAGGCCGCCTTGGGACTCAGAGCTGGCCTCTGTCTCTGCATAGACTTTCTGTCTCTGAAGCTCAGCCTGCGTGTATTTGAGCAACGAGCCCCCAAAGCAGCCGGCTGTTTTTGACTTACTGTAATGAAAATATGATAGAAACATAATGAAATACCGGGTCCCTGGTTAGCTTTATTATGCACTGTTTTCTTTCCAAAACTTGCTTAGAATTTCTTTGGGGACTGTCTGTACTTTGTTTGCAAGTGCAAGCTGATGAAGTGTGGGAGGATTAAAAGCAGACATTATCTCAGCTCTCAGGCGACTATTTGTCTCATTCTTAAAGAAAAAAAGACCCTCTAGACTGTGCATCATGACATCCGATTAGCCTGTTGAGTGTCGACTATGAAATTCTTGCTTCTTCCAAACTTCTCGCAATGCGTCTTGAAATGGTCCTCCCAACAATTATCTCTCCTGACCAAACTGGATTTAAGAGTAGACACTCATTCTTCAATCTCTGCTTTTTGTTTAATGTTATATGTAATTCTGTGTGCCACTAATAGCTCTCAGGCCATTGCATCGTTGTGGAGAATCTGCTTGGTTTAGAATTCATTACATGGATAAGACTTCTGTACTAATCTCCTCAAGACTCTGTAGGACTAATAACAATCAATCAGCATATTTTCCCCCTACAGTGGTCAGCATGCCAGGGCTGCCCTGTAAGTCCTGTTTTGTTCACCCCTGCCATAGAACCTCTTGTGATAACACAACCCCTTGTCAAAGACATAGTCAGATATGGATACGAACAATAATTAGATATGCAGATGACTTACTGTTTTACACATCTGACCTCTCCATCTCTATTCCTGCTGCCTTTGCCACACTCACATTTTTCAGTCACTTATCAGGTTATAAATTGAATTTTAGTAAAAGCAAATTGATGCCACTTAATACAGCTGCTAGAAATCTTCCTTTACATAACATACTGTTTTTCAGCGTGTACCAGTCTCTCTTCCCACTACATTCTTTAAAACATTGATGGCCTAGTTCTATTTTATGTATGGCACAAAAACACTCCTAGGATACGGAAACAGCTTTTGCAGAGGCCTAAACCAGACGGAGGTTTAGCAGTACCAGATTTCAGGAGCTATTAATCATTCAGTGTTGGCTGCAAAGTGGAGAGATATCCCCACTCCCAATTTCGCTAGAGATGAAGGCAGCTGGCATTGTCTTCCCTTGTACACTCCTGCGTTCCAGGTCCTTATTCCCCCTTCACTAAAAATGTCGTCAAAGCAACATAGAAGATCTGGAATCAATTTAGACTCCATTTTGAGTTTCAGGCAAGCTCTTTTTCCACTCCAGTGGCCTCTAACCCAGCTGTCCCTTTGTATGTGGTTGATAATGCTTTTTCAACATGATCTAATCTTGATAATAAAGGATTTAGAGACCTCTATATTGACAATACATTCGCACGTTTAAACAATTATCAGCTAAATTTAGTCTCAGACGTAATTCTTTAGGTTCCTACAGATCCATAGCTACATTCGTAGTATTGATCCCTTTTTCCCCACCCCTTCTACTAAAAGACAGCTAGACACATTTCTTACCCTGCTTCCCATTCTGAAAGTTGCCTTGACATCAATTTATAGACAGATTTGCTCTTTACAGACCACCTCATTAAATGATGTCCTCATGGGAAGAGGAGCAGTGAGAGGAAATATCTGGAGAATTATAGGAGAGAATTCTTATAAGGGTACACACGTCTTCTATTTGGGCTGAGTACAGTTTCTTTCAATGCAAGCTTATTCATAGAGCTTATTGGACTAAAGAAAGATTATCCATTAATTTATAAGGATGGGTATCCTAATTGTGTGAGCAGTGCAGCCAGTCTCCTGCAGATCACATACACGTTTTTTGTGTTGCCCATCGCTTGTTGATTTCTGGAAAGACATGTTTAACACTGTAATATTGAAATAAGCGGCACATCGATTGAACCAGACCCATCATTGGGGCTTTCATCACCCATGCTACAACTGACCAAATCGAATAAAGATGTAATTGCCTTAGTTTCCCTGTTGGCAAGAAGGCTAATCTTGCTTAGATGAAAATTCTCTGCACCTTCGTCTCATGCTCTCTGCATTAAAGCAGTTTTAAACCATGTTAAATTAGGTTGTCAAGGAGGACTGTACTATTTGACCTAGTTGACCTGTAGACAAATGTATCAAAATATGTTTTTTGTTTGTTGTTTGTTTGTTTTTTGTATTTTTTGTGTCTGCTTATAGGTTTATTATATATTTCCCTTACATCCTATTCTGTTTTGATGCATGGATGGTTTTGATGTGATGGTTATACTTCTACTAATAAACTTACAAGTGCAATGATTGTACAAACGTTGTTTAAGCAAAGGTATATAAAAGATGAATATCATAATGTGTACATATGAGCAGGGTGATGTAGTCACAGATGTTCATGTAAAAATGTTTTTACGCTTTTCCAGAAAAATCTGGTGGGTATCTAATGAGGTCCCTAAGTTGGATCCTTCAAATACTGCTATATAAAGGCTATCCTGCTGTGATCTCTGTATTGGAAATGCTTCATTGACCAATAACCCCTCTCTCTTTTATTCACAGACCACTTTCAACGTTATATTTGAAACTTCTATCACACTTTACACTGATCAGATTGAGACGCAGCTCCAGCTATCAACGTAAGTAACTAAAGTGAGAAGTTACATTTTGTAGTGAAATATATGTAGTGAAATAATGTCCTGTTCTTGATGAAGTAATGACGGTGCAGACTAATAGTCCAACCGACTATTATTTAATGATGCTGAAAACATCTGCTCTGTGCATGTATTGTTTCTGTCCAGTCTGAGTGAACAGAGTGATCTGTACCCTGTGTCCGTCATCCTCAACGTGGAGAACAAGATCCTCACCTCATTCTCTATGTAGGTTTTCTACAAAATTAAAAACCTGGACAGTGTTACACCATATTCTTTTACTGTATAGGTTTCATTGATCTACTCTCCTCTTTCCTACAGAGAGAAGCCAGTGTTGAGCACCTTTTTCAGTGGTAAAGTTGTGGGCGAGTCTGCCATGAACACCACCAGTGACGTGGGCAGTCTAGTGGAGTTTGTTTTTAAGGTATTTTTTAATATTTTTTTTTACCTTTTTAAGGTGGTTTTTATGTTAGACAAGTATAACCCAAATAAACCCAAAATACTGTTGTTAAATGATTTCATTTATTGAAGAAAACATCCTGTTCTGCCCTATCTGGCCCTATATGAAAAAGTAAGTGCCCCCTTAGCTATTAAATCAACCAGTTAGCCACATTCAATTGACTATTAGATTAAGTTTCATTGGCCAAACCAAGGCATGATTACTGCCAGACCTGCTAAATCTAAACATCACTTAAATAGAACCAGTCTGGCAATGTGAAGCAGGCTAGAAGGTCTCAAAAAACAGCACATGAGACCACATACTAAAGAGATTCCAATACAGACGCAAAACAAAGTCATGGAAATCTAACAGTTTGAAAAGGGTTATAAAGCCATTGCTCAGGCTCTGGGACTCCAGCAAACCACAGCGAGAGCCATTATCCACAAATGGAGAAAACTTGGAACAGTGGTGGACCTTCCCAGGAGTTCACCAAGAGTACGATGTACGCGATTCCGCAACAAGAAAGACACTGGGCAAAAATGGCATCCATGGAAGAGTGCAAACCACTGCTAACCACAAAGAAAGCACAGGCCCGTCTCGTATTTGCCAAAAATTGACTCCAAGACTTTTGAGATAATATTCTGTGGACTGATGAGTCAAAGGTGGAACTGTTTGGAAGACGTGTCCCGTTACATCTGGCATAAAGCTAACACTACATTCAACCATAAGAACATTATACCAATAGTCAAACATGGTGGTAGTGTGATGGTCTGGGGCTGCATTGCTTCTGCAGGACCTGGACGATGAATTCTGCACTCTATCAGAAAATCCTGAAGGAGAATGTTTCTTTGTCAGTTTGTGACCTACAGCTTAAGCACAGTGGGCTATGCAGCAGAGCAATGATCCGAGGCACACAAGCCCATCTATCCACAAGTCTATCTCTAAATGGCTCAAAAGAAATAAAATTAAGCTTTTGGACTGGCCAAGTCATAATTCTGACTTGAATCCATCTGAGATGCTGTGGCAAGACCTCAAATGGGTTTATGCTCAAAAACCCTCCAATGTAGCCGAATTATAAACAATTCTTCAGAATTGAAGAAGGGGCCAAAATTCCTCCAGAGTGATGTAGAAGACTTATCGCAACTTACCGCAAACGTTTGATTGCAGTTGTTGCACAACCATTATAATTACTTTTTCACATGAGTGACAGTTCTTGAATAGATCTTTATCTTCAGTAAATGGAATGATCATTTAAAAGCTGCTCTGGTGTTTACTTGTGTTCAATGGTGTCTCTGCCACAGAAAGCCTGGTGGGGCACAACTGTAGGGGCAGCAGCCGACTCATCAATGAAACTGCACACAAACCTGATCCAAACACAAACGCACCCCATCAATGAAATCACAAATTCACAGATTAATGTAACGTGGTGCAGGAGTTGGCGGAAGTGGAGACTTAGGAGGAATATGAGTGATATGATAACGACATTAGATCTCACAAAACCTTGTTATACAGCATCGTATTACAAATCCAAAGTCATTTAGCAGTGTACAATCATTGTGGTCTGCAACTACATATCCAAAGCAGCATTTCAGAGCAGGGAGACACATTGATTTCTGGGCATTAGGAATACCACGCCTTCTAATAATGCAAAATGACTCACCAGTGTTGCTCACTGCTCGAAAAGGAAAGATGCATGACGATCGTTCATCTGGGCGAGCCTGTCAAAAACTTTTCTCTCAAAGTCCACCAATCCATGAATCAGTTCAAGTGATAGCATAGCAAGGGCAGTCAAGGAAAGCAGAAAAGTTTTTTTTAGCTACACTCGCAGTCAGCCATGTTTTTCTCTTGAGCCACTCTGGATTGAAGGAGCAGTTTTTGTCCTTTCAGACTGAATGATGTTGAAATCCTTGGGCTGGTGTGGTCCCAAACGTTTACTCTCTAATTTCTGCTCTAATGGCTGGTACCAAAAATAACTTTTATTACCTTTTTGACTTATTATTATGAGTGGCTACCACAGCTGATGAGGAACAGTGGCTAGCTGCATAGCAATGCCTGGTAAACGTCTGGACGTATGTAAATTTATTATTTTTTATTGGCTGCTCTCAGCATCCAACATGCTCATCAAAAGAAGACTGCCTGGAGAAATAGTTAGCCTACTGGCATTTACACAACAGGTACTGGAAGATATTTGGAATGTATCGGACAGCCTTACCATTGTCATATGTAATAAACGTGCAACAATGTATATATATATATTGATCATGTCGTGCACTGCTCCACAGCAAAATCTAGTGGGGCCCCGCCGGCCCCTAACATAGAGATGCCATTGCTTGTGTTATATTAAACTTAACTGGATGATCTTAAACAAATAAATATGACAAGTAAGCAAAAGTAGCAGAAATCGGGTGAGGGGCAAATACTTTTTCACAGCACTATGTCTATTCCAGACTCATTCTGAATTCATTAGCAATTCAGTAAGAAGTGCTAATATTGCTAATTATGAATGGAAGAAGAGAGATCAAAAGAACAAGCACTAGCCATAAAGGCAGATCAACAGTCAGTAGAGGTGAAGGTAGATGGAAGATACAGTGCCAGGCAAGTTGGGATGTATGTTTATCATGATCTTAAATACACAAGGTTTATGCTAAAATTATTGACTATTTTTTATAGAATAAATATAAAAAAGTGAAGTTAATTCTTATGAATCAAACAAAACAAAATTATTAAATATTTTAAATGCCCCAACAATCATCATTCAGCTTGTAGAATATGTCTCTTCGTGAATGCATTTAAGACAAACAGTGAGGAGGGGTGAGTCTAAATAGCTGTATTTGATAGAAGGCCAAACATTTCTAATTGTTGAAATTTTATGTGTTTTTTCATAGCTGTGATGTTTGTTAGTAGTAGGATGTGGTAGAAATGTCAAAAAAGAAAAAGAAAAGAAAACAAGTCTAAAAAGAAGCACAGAAGAACAGAGTTCTAGAGATGAAGGTACATTGTTAACTGAGGGTTAAGTATGTTATTGACAGTTGACCAGATGCATGTCCAAGTCATGCTGGCAGATGTGTTGTAGGAGCGTCTCAGGAAATAAAATGAGCATCTATGTTGGGTTGCAGGTGAGTGTGGTTGGTGAACCGCTGGGAGAGTTGGGCACTCTGGTGATGGATTTTGAGTGGCCGTATGAGGTGATGAACGAAAAGTGGCTGCTATATCTAACAGAGATCTTGACCAGTGGAACGTCAGAACCAAGGTGCATTCCTGCTGGGGGAATAGTCAATCCACTCAACCTCATAGTAAGTACAAGTACACACACTGTGTTCAGAATGGCCCCATAACCACTATTGCCTACAGTAAAAAGTCATGAGCAGTTAATGTAACATTTTAGGGAACATAAATTGTCCCTCATCACTATTTCCTATACTGGAAAATCAGGAGCGCTACATACAGTGACCCTAACATATCTGGACATTCGTACTGTACTTACATTAATGTATTAAATTCGTTGTGTTAGTCCCTTAAACATTCCAGGCTTATTACATACTAAGGCTTATTATTCAGTAACTACAGGGACTTCAGTGCAAACTGGCTGAGCTATTCTTAGGTTACAGAAGTGTGTAATAAACTTTTTCATTTACAAGTGATAATGCAGTCTTTTTCATACATTTCCATTAAAAAACAAACAATTGAAAACTATGCTTAATTCCACTTTGTGTTTGGATTAGTATTGCTTATTAGTTGCCACACATACACCACACACCTCTGCATATAACAAAAAAAAAGAAAACTATATTTTTTCATTTAAAAATGTGTAGTTTATATATTCTTTTATATTTACGTGATTTTCAAATGGATATACTTTTTGACTTTTGACTTTTTTGGCTCCATACTTCCACTTTTTTTTTCAATTGAGTGTGATTTTGACACACTAGCCACACTTTCACTTCAGTACAGTTTCTCTGTACTTATTACACCCCTGGTTGTATATGACACACTGTAATTTGGATACAGTTATATGTCAGCGTTTGGGCACCCCTGGTGAAATGTCACATTGTGTTGATTTTCTAAGTGAAAAGAAGTTAACGTTAGAGTTAATTAGAGATGCATGGCATGGCAAAAATGAAATCTCACTATACCTTTAAGTTTTTAAAAGCAAAATACATTTTTTCTGACATTTGATAAGTTGAAATTGACAAAGTAGCATCACATTTAAAGAAAACTATCAAAAACTATAAATCTAGTGTTTTCTATCCAACAGTTGACTTACTGCACTGCACTGAATACAATAAAATAGAACCAATTATGCTCTCTTTGTCATCACACATGCAGTTCAGATGTTTTGTGAAGTACTGATGACATTCATGGTGTACTCAGAAAAGCATGTTGTGACATATTATTATGTAATTTTTGACGATAATGCTCAATGTTGTCATATTGCCCAGCCATAATTTTAATGCATGATTACCATTTATTTGCTGAACTTAATATAATAGACAGAAACTTATTTGTCTCAACAGTCCTGAATCCATCAGCCATGGGTTTATCTAACTAGCTGACTGATAATCTGAAACTGCACTGTTCAGTAACTGGAAAGCAAGTCATTGGTTTTAAATGGAAACAACCACCCACACACATCTGACCTCGTAATGGCATATCCTCATTAATTCATGAACTATGTTTTACCACTACCACTAAGTCTTAATGGAAAAAAGGGAAACAACCACACAGCAATAAACTTGTAACGTATATTCAGATTTTGCCATCTACAGAGTGATCCTGTCTTCAACATAATATTTGGAATATTTGGAGGTGTCCAAAAATATTTAAGTTAACTTTGAGTTCTGGATGGCAAAATGTCTCCTGGCAAGGCTTTTGCAACAAATAACCACCTTTTCTTTGTGTTTAGTTGTCAGAGAAAGGTCCCAAACGAAATAAGCGAGACGCGGACATTGGCCTGCTGCACACGGATGCTACTAGGAACCCTCTTACCCCTCACAAAGAGAGCCACCTACTGGTACATCACCCATCCTCATACACACTTGGCTGTTAAAGCTGTAGTTCAATGTGATGCAATGTCAGTGTTGGTTCAACCTTTAAATATCCAGGGTTATTATTGTTTTGCTATAGGGTTATTACTGTTTTGATTTAAGTAACCCTAATGAATGTAATTACATAATGGATTATGTAATTAATTACATTAATATTTCATATACATATTGTATCAGCTGGTTCAAGTTCAAATTTTAAAAAGCTGTTTGCAGGACTGTTTTAGCCTTCATAACTTTGGAACCATTTATCTTACAGATATGATAAACATATTATAACAATCAGCAGAACTTGCTCTCTCTAGGAGAAGCAAGGGAGAGAAAGAAAGAGGAGTCTGACACGTGCAGAGTGCATGTTGTCAGCACATTGTGATTGTCATGGTTTGGGGGGGGGTTGATCAGGGTTAATGAGAGAGAGCTGGAGAGCTGTGAGCTCTAACCTACTTCTGTTCAGTACCGCCAATCAGAGCATTGGACTCACTCTAAATAATTATACATTAACTTATAATGGATAAAATTCAATTTCCTGGATAAAATCCTTCAATTTCAAGTAATTTCAGATATTTTGAACAGCGAACAGTCTTCAGAAGCACTCATCTTGCCCTGAACAAAAAAGTCCAAAGTCTGCCTTGCTGGCTGTCAAAGTATTAGCACTCAGCATGGATCCAAGAGGATAGAAAATTAATAGAAAAATATGGCCACCTTATGCTAATCATTTATTTTTAGTCAGTAATAAATAATGGAATAAACCACAATCAAAATGACTGTGTTTTCAGTTCACGTACACTCTAGTCTAACAATTTTTGCAAAGGTACTTGAGCTGACAATTTTGTTAATTATATATTAAATATATATAAAATACAATATATTAAAGTTTGTATAAGCAAAAAAAAAAGAAAATAGCAGGCACAAAGTACATTTTCCATCAAAAGTCGTAATATCACAATTCTGTTAGCTGTCAAATAATGACCAAAATACCAGAACAATTATGCAAAAGTACACTAAGGTGGCTACATAAGGTGGTTAACTACATATGTTTAGTCAATGGTACAATAATTGCTTGCCAGTTTGACTCTGGAGTGCTAACAGTTTGGTTGTCATTACTGGCTTGCAGAACTGCTCACAGCAAACAGCTCGCTGCGTGACCTTCTCATGCCCCCTGAAAAACATGTCTACTGAGGCTACGATCATCGTCAGAGCAAGGGTGTGGAACAGCACCATGCTGGAGGTAAAAGTCAAGAGCTCGGAAGGATTCTAGCTGATTATAGCTCTCTTTAGCACACATTTTAACCTAACCCATATGTTGTTGACAAGTCAGTACAATTTTGGTTTCCAAAGTTTGCTTCTCTATTTTTACACTGGAGCTAACAAGAAATGGAACAATATGCTTCATATGTACACCAATTAGCATCATGCAATCTGCATGTCTGTCATTACAGACTTGCCTGAACCCTTTTTAAGTTGTTAAATGGTCTCAAACAGACTTGCTGATGTGGTTTCTGGCACTGTATAACATATTGTTATCTAAAAAAAAGACAAAATATGTTGCATATGTAAAAATAGTAGTTGAAGCCATCTTAAGTCTGAATTTTGGCTGCATGTTTGTCCTAAGTGGTGGGGTATACACTTCTACTAATTGTTAGCTACATTACCTTTGTAGTCCCAGTGCAAAACTAAAGAAGCATATTTAAGACACCAAATGTCTTGGGTGATCACGTAAATTTAGAGTTTTTTTTCCAAACCATTGCTTTCTCATCACCCAACTAATCAGCAAACCCTTTTTCCTCAGGACTATGCTGAAGCTTTTCGAGTGACTGTTATTGGACGTGTCACACTGAGGCTGTTGACAGATAAACCTGCCATCAAAATGGACAGCGAATTCAGAGAGGTTAGCAGGGTGGCAGTTCCATTCATGGACAATAAAGGTGGTGGTTTGCTGGATTTTTTGCATTTTATTGTCTTTTTCTCTGTAGTTTATGGTCAACATTGATCCTGTGCCCGGAGAGGAAACGCCATACAGTGCTCCTCTTTGGATCTACATCGTTGCAGGTGTAGCAGGAATCCTTTTACTAGGCATCATCACCCTCATACTATGGAAGGTACATCAAGCACATATCGTTATCCTCATATAGATAGCAGTTTACAAAGCTAAGATAAGATTTACAGTGTTGTGAAAAAGTATTTTGCTAACTTGTCACGTTTAAATTTTTTAGATCATCCAACTTATTTTAATATAAGATAACAGGTAAACACAAAATGCAGCTTTTAAATGATCATCCCATTCATTGAAGATAAAGATTTTCAGCCATGTGAAAAAGTAATTGCCCCCTAAACCTAATAACTGGTTGTGCCACCCTTGGCAGTAACAACTGCAGTCAAATGTTTGCGATAATTTGCAATGAGTCTGTTACATCGCTGCTGAGTAATTTGGCCCATTCTTAAAGAATTGTTTTAATTTGGCTACATTGGAGGGTTTTTGAGCATGAACTGCCCGTTCAAAGTCTTGCCACAGCATCTCAACAGGATGCATGTCAGGACTTTGACTTGGCCACTCCAAAAGCTTAATTTTGTTTCTTTTGAGCCATTCAGAGATGGACTTGCTTGTGTGCTTCAGATCATTGTCCTGCTGCAATAACCCGACTGCGCTTGAGCTTTAGGTCACAAACTGACTGACAGACATTCTCATTCGGGATGTTCTGATAGAGAGCAGAATTCGAGAGAAACCTTTGTTTTCTTTTTGGTTAGCAGCGATTTGCACATTGCAACTCGCCCATGGATGCCATTTTTGCCCAGTGTCTTTCTTATTGTGGAATCGCATACATTGACCTTAACTGAGGCAAGTAAGGCCTGCAGTTCTTTAGATGTTCGCCTTCTTTTGTGACCTTCTGGATGAGTCATCAATGCACTTTTGATAGTCTATTCACCAACGTTCACCACTGTTCTAAGTTTTCTCCATTTGTGGGTAATGGTTCTCACTGTGGTTCACTGGAGTCCCAGAGCCTTAGCAATGGCTTTATAACCTTTTTCAAACTGTTAGATTGAATCTCTTTAGAACATGGCACCGTGCTAGCCTGCTTCGCATTGCCAGACAGGTTCTATTTAAGAAATGTTTAGAGTCAACAGATCTGGCAGTAATTATGCCTGGGTGTAGCTAGTGAAATTAAACCCAATAGTCAATTGATTTTGGCTAACTGTTTGATTTAGTGGCTAAGGGGGCAATTACTTCTTCAAGGTAGGGCTGAACAGGATAGCTATGTCCTTCAATGAATGAAATCATCATTTAAAAACAGCGTTTTGTGTTTACTTGGGTTATACTTGTCTAATATTAAAAGTAGTTTGATTATCTGAAACTTTCAAATGTGACAAATGTGCAAAAATAGAAGAAATTGGGAAGCGGCAAATGCTTTTTCACAGCACTGTACCCTCAAACTGTTTTACATATATTGAAATAAAATTTGCTTAGAGCAGTATGTTACATTTCTTCTCAAATATTTTTGTTACTTTTTCTCCCATATGTTTATATGAAATATTTTTCCAGGTTAAGTATGCATAAGCTTTTGTATAACAGTCACTGATCTGATGCCATTTCTGTTGAGGGCGAATATGATTCTAAAAAAGATCTTACTCTAGAATGCTTTGTGAAACAATGCAGAGAACTAATACTATTTACCAGCCACCTTTTCCTGGGCTTAGAAGGTAACAGTGGCTGGTAAATTATACAGTATACCAACCACTGTTACCTTCTAAGCCCATAAAGCACAATTTGTGCTAGCAACGGTTGCATACTTTATCAATCGGAAATTTCTGACCACACAACCACATTTTACTGGGTTTCTTTGGGTGGTGGACCACTCTTAATCTAGCAGTGACACTGACGTGTAAAAGTTCCACGAAAACAGCAGTAGATAGAGAGACACAATGTCTGATACACACGTGCCAGCACCTTTAACCCCACCATGTCACTACCGTGACAGTGTCACTGCTCTGTTTGAGAATGGTCCATCACCGAAAAGATATTGGGTCAGCAGCAGCCTTGTGGTCAGAAGCTGACTGATGTGTGAATCACAGCAAATCCGCAACTGTAAAACTATATAGTAGACTTATAAACATGTGGACTGCAAGGTAAAAATAGCAGAGTACAATTTTCTTTTGTAATTACAGTGATGACCAACTGCCAAAAATTTAGGATCACTCTTCTATACCTACTGATCTGTCCATTTCCTGCCCACAAAACTCTTATTTTTGTAAAAATACCTAAATTTATAGTGTTATGTCAATCTTTATTTTGTATGCATGAAAAGTTTCAATGTTAAGATAGATCAAAGTAGTCTAATTGAGGTTTTAAACATCAATTAAACATCATATTGTCTTCAGCTGTGTTAGGGCTGCTAAGCTAACATTGTAGGCTACAATGCAAGCTACTGTAGCATAGCTAAAGTTAGGAGATTTGCTGAAAGTATTTTCTCTTTTGTACTTACCATATATTTTGGAATATTTTAACAAATATATAACACATGACACGTCAAGCTAGTTGGTGTAATATGTGAAACAGAGGCAGAGCTTGCTAGCAATGCTAGAATTACTTAGCCTGTCAGTTAGATATCTACCCCTAAAATTAAACTTAAGTGCTACAATTTCTCATTACCTTTAAACAGGTTCTTTTCCAACATTCTGCTTAGCCAACCTTGCAAAAGTAGCTACAATAGAAAACATATTGTGGGCAGAACAGAAACTTTCCAAAAGCTTGAGAACTGTAAATCTGCTTTTTATTAACTCAACCTTCAATTACCGTTCCCCCCACTTGGCAGTGTGGTTTCTTTAAGCGGGCTAGTCGGAGGGAGATGTACGAGGCCAAGGCTCAAAAAGCTGAGATGAAGATACAGCCGTCCGAGACCGAAAAGCTGACTGAGGACTACTGAGTCTGCAGGGGGGCTAACACTGGCCTCCCAGCATGCCCTATTGGTACCCCTCGGTAATGCAGCATTGTGGATTCACTCCTGCGCTTCTCTTCCTTTTCTCTTTCTCTCTTTTAGCTATCACCTGTTTTTTAACAGCTGCCTTGACTTGCACTCACTCTTCTCGAATCACTTTCCAGTTGTTCCTTTTTCAGCGAAACTGCATGCCCACTGAAGTAAAACAGCGAGTCTTCCTTCTTTCTGCCCATCTCTCACTATTCATGTCCTTGTCTTGTGGGATTGGGCTGGATATTTTTCATTAGAGAGCAGACATTGACTTTGGTGTTCAGCTGAGCTTGTTTTACCCACTGGTGCCATTTCCAGCTAATGAGCTTCCTCCAGACTGTGTTGTACTCAGTGATTCCAATTACTCACAAATGAAGCATGGAAATAACACATGATTTTCTTTGAATTAATCTTCCCTAGAAACTATATGTCATTATTATTTATTATTCACTCTTTCTCTCTCTTTCTTTATCTCTCACACACAGTGTGGCTTCTTTAAGAGGGCTGTCTACTACAAGGTCATGCCTAAGTACCACGGAGTGAAAATACGCAAAGAAGAAAGGCACAAGTTTAGCCAGGCTTTCCGGCCCGAACGAGAACTCAACAAAAAGCTCTGGGTCACCAACTGGACAGAAATGCGAGAATATTACTACTGAACATTACTGGAAACATGTCCTTACCCACCAGCTCATGATGACTGGAGGATTTCCTTTCTTATCTCCCATGACAGTGACATTTGATATGGGCTTTCTAAGCCTTCGCTCATAGAACATGAATGGAAGTGGAGACGGATGAACGCATTTCTCGCGTTCCAGTGCAATATTGTGTCAGCTGTGTTGCAGATGTGCAAATGTCCTGCTGTTCCTTTAGTGAAAGTATTGACCAGTTACTGAGAAGTGCTCTGGAACATTCATTGCTTGTGAGTAATTGACTGTGGAGATTTTCCCAATCTTCACACTGAAAGTATTCGTAAGAAAACGAATGCCTTCTGCATGGATATTGTTCCGTGTTGCAAGTGCCTGTGTAGCTTTACGCATTATGATTCCACATTCTGAAACTGTAGTTCTAATCAAGTCATGTCATGCAGTGTATTTAGTTTAGTGCTTGTTTGTGCCATGTGGCAAAGTCTTTAAAGGAGCAGTTCAACGAAACATTCACACACTTGTCCCCTTAGTCAATCAACCATGTTATGTTTAGTGTGTAAAAGTTTGTTTCTTTCATTTTGCACTGGAAGTACAAGTCTATTGTAGCTGACAAATAATGGGAACTTACACCCCAACAATTAGTGTCATGCAAAGTGCATGCCAAAGTCAGTACATGGCTAAAAACAGTATCAGCAGCCATGTTAAACGTTATGAGTGATGGACTAGATTGAGGTTAGGGGGAAATTGTGCTAATTTAATTTTTGATGAACCATTGCTTTAAGTGTGTGAAGTAGTACAGAATGGTGCTCACACTCCAACCGACACTGTGAGTGATATGCATAATGACTTGCATCCAGCATTCTGATGGGATTTTATCTCATTGTCCATTGCAGAGCAAAGCTGACCAGCACACTATGCTGATTGTGATGTAGCTGGTGCTATAAAACTTGATGTTTTAGCTTTATTTTCAGAATGAAACCCCACTCCAAAGTCAAAAGTTTGGACACACCTACTCATAGAAGGTTTCATCTGTTAGAATAGTAATGAAGACACAAATACAATGAAATAACGTGGCATTATGCAGTGACCAAATAGTGATTAAAATGCTTGGCATTTTCTCAAGTAGCTTCATAAGGACTTACCTCATGTTTGAAGAAGATGCACATCTGCTGAGCCATTGCTGGCTTCTGATCGCTACTTGTTGGGTGGTGTTTAAAAAAATCGACTTTTAAATTGTACATTTTGATTTAAGAGGTAAATTACTTTGCTGAATTAAGATTTATTTCATATTATGGTATGCCATTTCCTTGACTACTTTGACCAGTAAGAGTCAATACACTGGAGATTATACTGTTTTCCATGCAAGGTGTTTTATATTAGTGTTGTACCTGTCTGTAAATATTAATGCACAGTGAGATTATTTAGTTGCAGCTGAAGTGTGATGTTGCTTTAAATGGAACTTTGGTACATTTAAAAAGAATTTTCCTCTCTTTAAAGTTTAGATATCTATTAAGCCAAAACCTTGAAGACCATATATCCTGCTGTTTTGCCTGTCTAGTTTTGTGAAACTAAAATATTTCTTATGATTTATTACACCTGTATGAAGTTTCAGATAAAATCACAGTGGTCCATTAGATGCAGTGCAGGAATCACTTCATTACTTTGGCAGTGAATGGCAGGGTAATTCATACTGTGAGACTGCGTTTTTAAAGATAAATAGCTGATGTGGTTTGAGGTCTTCTTTCTTACAGTCCTGATACTGATATTAAATGGGTTTTGTACATAAAAGAAACTGGCATTTTAACATCTTTATAGGTTGCTTCATGTATAGTAAAGTTTTCCTTAAGTTTTAAAGTTTGTGATGTCCCCACACAACATGTATTAATATAATCCTGTGGCCCTAAAAAGAATGTGTTACACTTCTTTAGTGTCAGTGCCTACAGGCCTCTAGTCTATGCCACACCACACAGATGAATCAGTAAGGTAGGTTACCATTAATAGCCTATTGTTGGTGCCTATATACGAATATAATTAGGCTTTTGATGAAATATACTAGCTAAAACGCATTGATAACTGTTATGTGCTGTGGTAGACATGGCATGTGATCAATTATTATACCACAATGACTTTAAAAGGTATGCCACTCTGTATTCCACTTTAGCGAAGAAGTTCAGCGATAGTGGGACAGCATTTAAAGCCCACTTTGTCTTATAATTAAATATGAATGATGTTTTAACAATGCAGATTGTTTTTCATTTGTCCACTAATTGTCTTTAAACAAAAAGTGCAAAACTTAGTTCTGGTTTCTCTTTCTTAATACATCATGTATAAATAAAGTATTCTGATTTTTCTGCTAACCATGTGCTTGGTGAAATCTGACCAGTTTCAGATCATGACCATGCCCACTACAATTATGCCAGTCTGGTAAAAAATAAACTCTGAATGATGAGCTCCATTGTGGTAATTACAGTGAGAGGAAACAAGTGTTTAGACCTTTTTGGTTATTTGATGCACCTCCATTGCATATATCAGGGGTGCACAACTCCGGTCCTGGAGGGCCAGTGTCCAGCACAGGTTTAATGGGTGTGTGTGAGTAGGGAAACCTCAAAACTGTGCTGCTATATGTATATATATATACATATATTTTTTCTATTCAATGTTTAATAATGTTGTCCCTGAGAACTTTTGGAAGTTCCTTTGAATACAATATATATATATATATATATATATATATACATATATATATTGTATTCAAAGGAACTTCCAAAAGTTCTCAGGGACAACATTATTAAACATTGAATAGAAAAAAACTACACAGAGCAAATTTCTGAAACACCTGTTTTAGTACAACTGGCTTGATAATATGAGAGTGGAAGGTTCAGACTAATGATAAGGAAGATGTGAGAAATGCCAGAAAGTATTTAAAAAGGACAGCTGCAGGACAACCTGTAAGCATCAGGAACAACAGTTAAACAGAACTGCACCGCAATCATCTCTGTTCCTACACCCCACAGAGGACAAACCTCTTTTGAAACCATGTTCTCTTATCAGACAAAACAAAAATATAACTCTTAGGCGATAAATCCACTTTGTCACATGTAAAAAAAAGAAAGGTTGCACAGATGATCCCAATAACACTGTACAGTGAAGTACGGAGGTGGGAGCATCACAATATGGGGCTGCTTTTCTGCAAACAGTGCTGTGGCATTGCACATTATTGATGGAAACATGAATGAAGCAATGTACTGTGAGATATTAGAAGAGAAAATGCTAAATATTTAAGAATTTTTGAAGTTAGCAAGAGAACCTGACAACAATCTGAATTTACAGTGATATTTCTTGCATTTAAAGAATGCAGTTTATTGCAAACAGTTGTTTTTTTGACCAGAGTTTTTGTTTTCTGTTGTACAGATTTCTCAGTTTTTTTTTCTATGTGAGATCGAGCTGATCAACCACAGACATTTTTTCATGACCTTTTCGTGACCCATCTTTACCATGGGTGCTAATAATTATGGGGTTCACTATATGCTTCAAATAAAAGTTTTACAGTGGTATAACAAAAAGAGTGTCACTATTAACACACACATGTACAGCTGTGTGCAAAAGTTTGGGCTTCCCTAGTCAATTAAGTTCTGTTGATTTTCATGAAAATAAGTACACAGCCTTAGAATATACCTAGAAGGGGTGTCTTAATCTTAATATTCTTTGCTTACTTTTTACACAAGAAATGACAAGCCAAGACAAAAAGGGTGAATAATTATTTCTTTTTATTCTATAAAGGTAAAGTATTTACCTATAAAATCAATCTAAAAATACATACACAGGTAAGACTTTACAAACAACTGAAAACAGTCCCTACCCACCCAACATTGAGTTTAAATCTTTACAAATAAATTACAAGTCAGCTTTCATTGCATAGTCAAACAAATTTGACCAAAAATAATTAATAAATATACATGACATTCAAAAAGAGGTGGATTGTTTTCTTTTGTTTTCAGAAAGAAAAAAAAAAAACATGGGCATTTGAACCTACAGCCAAATTGCTGTATGAAGACTCCTATTTGAGCTCCATTTGAGAGATGGATTTGTTCTGTAGGTGTCTGGATTTTCTGTACTTATAGGCCAAGAAGATGGTAGCGAGCAGGAGAACCATACCGAGCACCAGGAGGACCCACTGACCAGCTGTAGCTGCAGCTTGGTCTACATTCAAGCCCAAAAAGTCTACTGAGCTGTCCTCCACCACCACTACAGTATCTACAATACAAAAAGCAAGTTTAAGGAAACTTGTGAAGTGACCAGTGAATGCAAGGTAAAAATGTATATAAAGTGGACAGTAAAGGGAGTAGTACTACAAACTATTAAACTAACATACAAGTTTATAGAAAATCAAGTTATATATTGTGACACTCACTCTCAGTTGTGGACGGCATCCAGCTGTATTCAGGCCATCCAAGGATGTCGCCATTCTTTTTGTTTTCCTGCTCTAACCAGGTGATGAGGGGCTGGAAGTACTCCATGAGAGGCTGCACAGACATTTCGGGCTGGCCAGTGATCATAGCCATCGCCTCAGGCCAGGGCTTACTATAGCCAAGCTGCATCACATCACTGGAGAGAGAGGATATAGAGGGGTTCATAACGTTGTTTAATACACATATGATTATTACTGAACAGAAAAGATACACTTCAATTTGATAATTATAATCTCATTCACGTTTGTACACATATACAGAGTAAATGGTGACTACCTTTCTATGCCCCATACAACTATAAGCAAAAAACTTTCTTTTATTCACAGATTAGCAGATACAGGGATGACTATTTATTATTTCAACAACTTTAACTTGATCTCAACTACCAAGTTTAAAGCACTTCTCAGTACTTAGAAAACAGAAAACCTGTTGACACTTAAAAAGAAGTCAATGAGCAATAGCTAAAGCAGCTGCCCACTGGATTCTATTATTAGTTTGTTTTCTAATCTGTTTTTCTGAACACACTGGAATGATTTTGTGTGGTAATCGACTGTATGCTGCAGATACGGTTGAATGTCACTGGAGTATTCCATTAAGACTTATCATTTAATAACTATTATAGATGATTCAATAACTACAACCTCAATTCCAAAAAAGTTGTGATGCTGTGTAAAATGTAAATAAAAACAGAATGCAATGATTTGCGAAACTCATAGACCCATATTTTATTCACAATAGAACATAGAACACATAGCAGATGTTGAAATTGAGGCATTTTACCATTTCATGAAAAATATTAACTCATTTAGAATTTGATGGCAGCAACGCATCTCAAAAAAGTTGGGACAAAGGCAACGAAAGGCTGGAAAAGTAAGTGGTACTAATAAAAAACAGCTAAAGGAGCAATTTGCAACTAGCTCACATGACTGGGTACAAAAAGAGTAGTTTAGAGAGGCAGATTCTCTCAGAAGCAAAGATGGGCAGATGTTCACCAATCTGCAAAAACTGCATCTAAAAATTGTGGAACAATTTCAGAAAAATGTTCTTCAACATATAATTGCAAAAACTTATCCCACCAGATATCCCACCATCTACAGTACATAATATCATTAAAAGATTCAGAGAATCTGGAGAAATCCCTGTATGAAAGGGACAAGGTCGATGGTCAATATTGGATGCTCGTGATCTTCAGGCCCTCAGACAGCACTGCATTAAAAACAGGCATGATTCTATACTGGAAATCACTGCGTGGGCTCAGGAACACTTCCAGAAATCATTGTCTGCGAACACAGTTTGCTGTGCAATCCACAAATGCAAGTTAGAGCTGTATCATGCAAAGAAGAAGCCACGATCCAGAAACGCCGCCGTCTTCTCTGGGCCAAAGCTCCTTTAAAATGGACTGAGGCAAAATGGAAAACTGTTCTGTTGGCGCATCATGAAACGAAAAAGCCAGCAAAGAGGACCCAGGACTGTTGAGCAGCTAGAATCCTACATCAGACAATAATAGGACAACATGCCTCTCCCAAAACTCCAGCAATTGGTCTCTTCACTTCCCAGACATTTACAGACTATTGTTAAAAGAAGAGAGGATGCTACACAATGGTAGACATGGCCCTGTCCCAACTTTTTTGAGATGCATTGCTGCCATCAAGTTTTAAATCAGTTAATGTTTGTTATGAAATGGTAAAATGTCTCGCTTTCAACATCTGATATGTGTTCTATGCTCTATTGTGAATAAAATGTGGGTCTATGAGATTTGCAATTCATTGCATTCTGTTTTTATTTACATTTATTTACGTTTCACACAGCGTCCCAACTTCTTTGGAATTGAGGTTGTACCATGAAACTACTGTAAGTAGTTATGAGAGTGTAAAACTGAAATGTGGACCCCCATATAAGCCCTTGCAGTTTAAGCAGTTAATTATTGGAAATAATTTAATTAAAATGGCAATATGTAAGAGCTGCTCTGTGGCTTACTGACCCAAGCAGTTTTCCTGCCTCTTTGGACTCATAGATGTCACAGTTGTGCAAAGGACCAGTGTGACCAGCAGCTTCACACAGAGCTTTATGGAACTGGAACTGGATCACAAAGCTGACAAAGTACCTATGTGAGAGAACAAACCACACAGTTGTGTCAGAATATCTCTTGCTTTGACAGTCACAGTAATTTGAACAGTATTGTCATTGCACTGTTGGTGAATAAGGCAAAACAGGCAAAGCACGACACACTATGATTCACGTCATTTTCATGATGAATCCTTTATAGTGCTGTACCTGATATAGGGTACGTTGGCTGGGATATGAAACTTTGCGCCCGGGTCAAAGTCTTCTTCTGTGCGTGTCACAGGAGGGCACAGACCCTGATACTTCAGCCTAAAAGAAACGATTACAACTGTAATATTGTAGTAGGCCAGTGACACTGTAGAAGCTAATCTAAACACATTAATGTTCTGTGTACACTTTTTGAATTTCCCTCACTGGAAAGTTTCATTTAAGTAAAAAATGTTTGTTAACATAAAACAGCTATTAAATACTTTGGGTATATTTTAACACCTAGCTTCATCAAAGTGTCTTCCCTGGTATAAAGAGCAGATTTTGTCTAAATAATGAATGTGACAGTTTTCTTTTCCAAAGTAATGTTAAAAAAACATACTGAAAAATTTTTGGCTCAAAGGTGGCAAAGTTTAAGTGCTGATGAATACTGACAACAAGGGGGTGAAATGCTTTTTTCTCAAAGTAGCTAATATTTAAACGTGATGTATAAGGCTGCTTTATTGAAAACCATCAAAGAAAACATGCTCATATGGTTGTTGGAAGAAAACCTCATATCTCCAAAATGACAGCTTTACAGGAGAAGGACAAACATCCTTTACTTTTAATGTAAGTCAGTGGAACCAGACTTTTTTCCAAGTAATTTTGGGCCATTTCTTTTGGTCCATTCTTCATGAAATTTACACACAATGTAAAGGACAACAGGCATCTTCAAATTATACCAAAAACTGAGAAACGTAGAAAATGGAGATACGAGGTTTTCCTCTGACAGCAGCGATATATGTAAAAAGTTAGGCGTCCCTAACTTTTGACAACTTTTGTGCATATGCAGTTGTGTTTATAGGTTTTTCTGCCTAATGTGATCAGTGATTTTCACCTGAGGTTCCACCACTCTTTATTGTACTCGCTGCTTGGTATCCTGCCATCAAACACCTTCCACCGCCACTGGTCCATCAGGTAGCCGAATGGCAGGAAGGCGATTTTATCCAAGGCAATGCTCATTAGGAAGTTAATGGTGCTCTCTGTGGACAGATTAACACCAGAATCAATCATCAGCTTTGCATTTCTATCCCAAATCAGTGCTTTTTTACATACATGTACTCACTCCAAATGTATATATATATATATATATATGTTCCATATATGTTTGGCCACTTTAAAAGACAACAGTGTTGATTATAAAGTGGAATAATCAAGTCAGTTTGAGACTTGTGTGATGACTTTGACATGTTGTTTTGCACAGTGCTAATTGTTTGGGTATGAGCTTCCATTACTTGTAGCTACATATGCCTTGTAGCTTGTAGCTTCAGGTTAAAACTAAAGAAGCAAACTTTTTCAGTAAGTGAAAAAGCGTATATTTTATTTATTTTTTTTGCCAAACTAACACTTTAAAGGCTGCTGATGTGGTACAGTAACACATACATTCTGAACAAACTTATATTCTCAAACATTCACTGAGGTTCTAAGGCTGTTGGAAGCTCACCTTGGTTGTCCTCCACCTTGTCCAGCAAGCCGATGCTGTGGAGGTGTTTAGGAGTGGACACTGACAGGGCTAGGACGTCTCCAATAGCCTCGTGGAATCCTGGGTTGGCACCATCGCGGAAGGAAATGGGCTGCTCCTTGTACTGCAGGAAGTACTGCACATGGCCCATCTCATGGTGCACTGTGATGAGGTCATCCATGTTTACCACCGTGCACTGCTTGATCCTAGATGGACAGAGAACATGCATTAAAATTCCTCTCACAATGAGGATGGAGGAGTGGCAATCAGGGGTATATATTTCCAACCTCAAAACAATTTGATTCAATTACAGTTCTTTAGAAAGCAATCCAGTGCACTACACGATTCACCAGGCTTCAATTTGATTGTTTTGTTATGAGTCAGAATTATTAAAAAAAAATGATTACACAGACGTTACTGGAATAACTATTTATTTTATGATTAAATCAATGCATTATTCTAAGTTTATGAAAATATTTAGAGACTTTTATTTTGGTTAAAAATGAGCTCAGACTTTATTGAAAATAAGTATAATCAATTATAATCAATTCTAACATTACACATTTTTTTCAGCACAATCACCAGTTTCAGATCAGTGTTGTTCTACAGGGATTGTAAAAATTGTTTAGTATTTAATTTATTGTCCACCAGATTTCCTTCTGTTAGGATGAACAACTGACTGCAAGTGTCCTAAAAGTTCAAAACTGTAACTAGTGTAAAAAAAGAGATAGACAGTGCCTTGTGCATTTTTATTTTATGGTATCTTAAGGAGCCCTGATTGTTTTTTTTAGTATGTTCAATCCAAAACAAGTTTTCATGTATGTGGCTCTATTTCTTCTATTTCTTCAGATAAACACATAAACATTTTCCTGTTTCCACGCTGATACATACCTGAAGTCTTTGCGGTTGTAGAAGTCCCAGGCAGAGGCATGACATACCACCTCCCGGTCTGTGGGTTTCTCCAGCATGGACTTCTGCCAGAACTCATCAGGCATGGCCATCAGTCCCAAAGACGTGAAGAATCTTTCAGACTCATTGAACATTCGCAATGCATTCCAGCCCTAATAGGAACCAAACAGAAAGAAAATTGACGACTGAGTTTTACAGATCGTCAACATCAGTTGGGCAAAGCTAATTTTGACTCTCCAAGATTTAACTTCTACTAAAGGGCCTTGTTTCAGACTTTTATTTTATTTTTTCCCTCTGAAACAATATATATATATATATATATATGCGCCAAAAACAGTCTGAATTCATCTTTACATGGCCATTGTCGCCCTTTATTAATCCTAAGAATCTTAGAATTAAAAAGCAGCATTGAACTATTTCTTCTGGCCTGAAAGTCAGAAAACTTAACTTTGGTTAGCTTTGAGATGTCTAGACCTTTTAAACTGCTGTGATGACACATTTCCTTTTCAACAGGCAGGAATAGCACAACGTTTAATTGTCTCTGCCCACATCTTCCACTCCGATAACTCAATTAAGTAATAGACTGTCTACAGTAAGAACACTTTGATATGAATGGACAACTAAACTGTTGTAGGCTGAATGGACAGTCAAATGTAATTGTGTTCAGAATTGTGACATCATGTTTTGGAAATGTAGCAATGTTTAAGCAATTTTTTTTGAAAGAGCAAACAACATTCAATTCTTCCATGATGTGGGTCCTTTAATTCTTGAGACAGAGAGTCTGTACTTACATTGGTTATCATGGCTTGTGTGACATCAATCTGAGTGGCTTCAGGGTAGGGCATGACCAGGTCCATGATGCTGGACCAAGTCTGGGCCCACATGTTTCCTGAGGTGAGCGAGAAAAAAAGAAGTTGGAGGTTGAAGGTGGGTAATATCTAGTTACATTTAATCAAGTACATATATTTAAGTAAAATACTCATGGATTTGTACTCCTCAGAGTATTTTCACACAGTAATACTTCAACTCCAGTTCCATTTTAGCAATTCATGTTTTGTTGCCACTTGCTTTTTGTGTTTTTCATTCTGTTTTGTTGTTGACAACATCTGTACTGCTTTGTTCTTGGTCATATTTCAACTTTAGAGCTTTAGCATTTTATATTAGACCAAAACAATCCAAAAAAGAGAAAAACAGAGCCTGCAAATTTCAGTTTCTGTGCTCATAGTTCTATAAGTTACTCAGTACTTAAGTCATTTTTTACCTGAAACCTTTGTACTTTTACTCAGATTGTTTTATTTGAAGGTACTTTTACTTGTGTCATTATTTTACCCAAGTTTGACTACTTTTACTTGAATATTGATTTAGGCTACTCTACCCACATCTGTATGTATGTGGCTGTTGGTGTATTGGCACTGAGGGAAACCGCTGGGCTTGGAATTCTAAACAACTCTTTCTTCAGTCATGTGGAAGTAATGTGTGTGTGTGTGTGTCAATACACTCAAAAAGACTTCGACAGACTGATACAGGCCAAGGCTGTAAATATATACACACGCTTGCACATACGCACACACACAGTCACGCTTGACGTTTTTTTGAAAGCATATTAAATCCTGCAGATTCCTTTGGAGTTGCCACAAACAGCAGCAGAATATTAATGTGCATTCTTAAGAAGCATGAAAAAATGTATTCAGACTCAGATTTGCACTGTAAGCTACACATCCAAACTATGAAATAATATTTTACTTCTACAGGCTAAATTCAAAGTATTTTAGATGCATTTTACAATGATTTTTCTAATACAAGGGAAAATAAGCCCACCAAATTCTACACTTATTTTCCAAATGGACCTTTCAGTTTGTAGTGATGTAATGAATGATTCATCTCTTAACACAATCAAGCAAGTTTTACAGGATGCACTTAAAAAATAATGATATTATAATAATGACAAAAAAGTGAAGTCTGGCCTAAAGGGGCCCTCTGAAGACCAAAGCAGATGCAACATGAAGAAAGGAGTTCTAAAATCCTCCATGTGTGTGCACTTTGAAAAGTCTGAACATAATTCTCAGAAGGTGGAATTTAAATATAAATCGTAATAAATAAAAACATTACTGCATCATTATGCAGTAATCATTGGCAAATCGTTGAAAATGCTGATTCTTACCTAATAAATGAGCTGGAATTGGCCCTTTGAGGTTGATGTGTTTTGCTCCGTACTTTTTGAAGAGAGCGCGGCGGACATAAGTGTGCAAATTGAGGTAAAGGGGCTGTAGATCTTTCCATAACGCCTCCAGGTCCTCCTCAAAGGTGGGTGTTTCATATAAGGAGCGCCAGAAAGCCCCATTGTCTGCGTGACCTGTTGATAGTGAGTCAAAAGGAGCATATGAATGCAAAATACAATTTCCTAACACTGTCTAAGGAGTATTACATATTATGACATGGACAACGTCACCAGGTAACATCAAGAGCTGCCCCAGTCAACTGTAAGTGCTTTTATTGTGAAGTGGAAACATTTAAGAGCAACAACAGATCAGCCAGATCTGGTAACACCCAGTCTCTTTTACTACGGAGCCATGCTGTTGTAATATGTGCAGTATGAGGTTTGGCAGCGTCTTGCTTGTCTTGAAAAAGACGTCATCTGGATGGCAGAATATGTTGCCAAAACCTGTATATATCGTGCAGCATTAATGGTGCCATTACAGATGTGCAAGTCACCCATGCCATGTGCACTAATGCACCTCCAGACCAACAGAGATGCTGGCATTTCAACTGTGCGCAGATAACAAGCTTGATAGTCTTTGAATGTTAAGTGTTCCTGAGCCCATGCAGTGATTTCCTCCACAGAATCGTGTCTGTTTTTAATGCTGTCCCACCTGAGAACCTCAAGATCATGGCCAGCCAATGCTGGTTTTTGGCTTTGTTCCTTGCACACAGAGATTTCTCCAGATTCTCTGAATCTTTTAATGATATTATGTAGATGATGAAATCCCCAAGTTCTTTACTCTTTCACTTTGAGAAACGTTATTCTTGTTGCACTATTTGCCTGTGCAGTCTTTGACTGAGTGGTGAACCCCTCCCCATCTTTACTTCTGAAAGACTCAGCCTCTCTGAGATGCTCTTTTTATACCCATTAATGATGCTGATCTGTTGCCAATCAACCACCAGGTGTATTTTTTTGCATTACACCATTTTAGCAGCTTTTTGTTGTCTGTTCTAACTTTTTTAAGCATGTTGTTGGGATCATATTCAAAATGGGCAAATATTTTTCAAAAAACAATAAAATTTCTCACATTCAACATTTCATACATTGTCTTTGTACTATTTTATATATTATACTTTTTTGGATACAGGGTTGTACAATAAGCACACATGGATGTAATGGTTGAGGGTCCACACATCTTTGGCTGTACACGTTTATTTTCAGTTTTGATATGATTTTCAGTTTTGATATGATTCTGGGGTCAAGAATCCATTCAAATTTATATTAAAATATTTATTGGTTGTACATTGATTGTACAGTTTCTTTAAAGGAGTTTGAACTTGAACGACCAGTTTGCTGATCTGGATTTTTCAGAGACTTTTGTGTACACACACACACACACACACACACACACACACACACACACACACAAGCACACACGCACACACACACACACACAGTTTACTATCTAGCCTGATGAATGGACTCATGAGCAGTAAATCCCAATTTTCCCAATATTGTCCTCAAAACCAGCCCAGTTCTCATGTTTCTATTGAGCTTTACAGTAGTAGGTCGCACTCCCACAGAGGCAGCTTTCATTCTGTGGCTCTTACCGTTACTGCGGGCAGCCAAGTTGGCGAGCTCTACATATCTCTCATAGCTCTGGCGCAGTTCTCTTCCTGAAGCATTGCGCCAGCCTTGCCAGGCAAACAGTAACTCATCATAATCTCTGGACTCAGCCATGATCCTATTCAGGTCTGAGGAAAAAAAAAAACACACAGACCAAACTGTGAGACTAACACACTACAGTACAGCTTGAAAAATAAACACTGTAAGACTGCTTCAAATTGGCTTCCCCTACAAAGTTAATCAGGAAAGTGTGCATGAAAATTTTTTTAACCATCATTTAGCTGCAAAACAGTCATGTTTCAGTATCAGAGTTTGAAGTAAACTGGAAAAGAATGTACAATGGTTCTTCACACTGACGCGTCACATTTACCGGAAGACCCATTGTTAATTATTTAATTCAATTATAAGACTGTAAGCTTATGCCAGTAAATGTTATGTCCTACTGAAGTGAACTTACCTGGATCAAGAGGTAGACAGGTATTTTCATCTTTACAGACTTTAGCTACACTGTATGTAGTCTCCATAGAGGCCAACAAGTTATTGTACTGTGGAAAGAGAGAAAGCAGGGTTAGCAGTGGCTGCACAAAACTTCATGAAAATCTAATACAATATGTTACATTTATTTTTGCAATACACTGACCATGCTAGAAACAAAATAATGGCTAATTAAATGTTTTAGACATTACAGATGTCCTGAGGTAACTGGCATTACTCCATCTAAACATAAAAACCAATCCGGTAATAAGGCTTAAGGCTACACTTTTAAAAACATCAGTAGCATTGTGTCCTGTGGTGGTTTATTTATCTTTTTTGTGACATTATGCTGAAATAATCTGACAAAGCAGTTTACATTAAACCACTGAGACAGTTCTAGTATTAAGTCTGAGACAAGACTAACAAACAACTCACTATGGAACTTTCCGTACTACACCAACTTTACTGAAAGCACTTCTGATGGTGGGGTACAATTTTACATACTATTTTGTGTGGCAATATGTGGTTAGAGATGTGGCCAGAGGCTAATGTTACCTGATGTTTTAGGGTGTTTTTGGACAACTTGAGCATAGTTAATGTTAACGTTTGCTAACCCAAACTCTCCTGGTATGTTGCCATAACAAGAACTTACACACAAGCCGTTTTCATAGTTATGATTAGCCGTGTTGCTATTCGTTGTGCTCTCGTTACTGAGCCCAAGTTCAAAACAGGTGAAAGCTAACCTCACTACCATCCAAACACTCCAATGAGGTGAACGCTCAGGCCAGTGAAGCTTGTGATTGGAGGATATTCAAACATAACATGTTTTATTTTTAGGCAAAAGCTCTTCATTTTTGAACAGGCACCTCACAACACAAGCCTTAACAACGGCTAAAAGAAGGCCCAGCACCACCCAACACACAACACAGCATGAAATGGTAAGGTTGTTTGATTTGCTGGAAAAACATGCTACCCTCTGCATTGCGCTTTTAAAATATTTTTTTTTTCTACCCACGATATAATTTTTGGGTGGGACAAATGCAACTATTTCCAGTGTGAGACACAGAGTGAGACACACCCCACCCATCTTACCTAGTTCCTACGGCAGTGCTCATAGCTATACTAAAAAAAAAGCACAAAACAGATGTAGAAGCTCTAGCATATCATAGTGTTTAGGATAGTATTTCTATCATATATCAGAGAAAATATCAATTATGTTTCATATCTCCTGACTGCCAGGGGTGGTTCTTACAAGTAGATGTTTCCCAGTGTACACAGCTCAGACCGAGAGGTTTGTATACCCAAGGAGTCACAATGTGACCCCTGCACGTGATGTCCACAGGGTTATAACGTCCTGTGATTCACTGCAAACTTCCTCTTTTCTCTTCTTGCTATCAGACCGACTGCGCAGCCCGGCAACACAATTCTTAGTGCCAGAGCCTCAAAAACATTTTGTCCACTCCGGACTACTGTTATAGACTCCACATCTATATATGCACACCCCCTCCTTCGTAGGCGCATCCCCTGTGGATGGATATGTGGCAGGGTTTCACTCGAGTTCTCATCAGAATTGAACAAGCTTGCCAGAACTGGTGCTGGCAGATGCTGCTTCTCATGACCTAGCTTCAATACCAGTAGTGGATACTTCTGCTGCTTCTAAAGTGGTGTCACCAGATGAAGGGATGTGCCCTGACCCGCATTGCCCCAGTGCGGAATATAGAGACACGGACTTAGTCACAACTTTTCCAGGGCACAATTACCAGGATGGCATATCATGTCAACAGGATACAGGCAGCAGTTCCGCTACTCTTAGTGCATTTTCTCCAGTTTGCATTTCAGAGCACAGTGTTCCAATTCAAAGTGCATGCAAGATGCCCTAACATCCCTCAAGGAGCCTTTGGATGATCAGCATGTGCCTCCTCCAAAGAGCGAGCACTCAAGGATACTTGGAGGCTGCTGGACCACGCTCAAGCACTGGGCCTATCTGTGAACTGGGAGAAGAGGAAACTGTCCCTGTGACAGATGACATAGTTTATCGACATGACACTGAACTCCCAAATGATGGTGGCTTCACTGACCGAGCTGGATGCATGAGTTAGTCTGTATTCCATGCAAGCTCTCAGACCATGCCAGTCCTTACAGTTCCTCATGTCTGTAAATTTGATAGGTCAGCTGCCAGCACACAGTGGGGCATCTACTACAGGATAGGCTGCAGTATGGCATCACAGGTGGAAGTGGTGTATGCTGCTATATGCGTTTCCCCTGCTGCCTCTAATTCCAGCTCCCCTTAACAGAGTTCATAAAGAAGAACATCAGGTCCTCTTGGTCCTCTGCTTTTGTCCCTCCTTTCTATGGGAACGCCCAGTACAGAAGGACCTTCTCTCCCAACCTGTGGAGCCAGATGTGGCATTCACGACCACAGTTTCTCCAGCTGTGGCCCTTAGGGCCAACTCAGAGCTGTCTTTGTGCTCTCCAGGATTCAAGAATTCGATCCTAAATGTGAGAGCTCTTTCTACCTGCACCCTATACAAGCACAAGTGGCAGGAGTTCTTGGGCTGTTACCCGAAGAACCAAAGAGATACGCTTTCATTCCTACAGGAGCAACTGGAGACGGAGAGATCTCCCTCTGGCTCAGAGCGACAGCACATCTCTGGGCACCCACATGCTGACTGTGGCCTTATTGAGAAGGGCATAGAGGCTTTGCCCACCCCTATTGTCCCAGCCACCACCCTGGGAGCGCCCCATGGTGCTGGACTATATATGCGGCACTCCGTTGAAACTCATGGAACAAAATAAGTCTACGCACTTATTACACATAGTTATCAGACCTGTCAATCTTGTCCCACACCACAGGCTGCGACTGATGTTCTCCTCGTTACGTTGTGGGCACAAGTAATCCACTTGGTAAGAATCACATACAAAACATAAGGCTAGTTATAAAGGTAACTGTGGCTATGTGAGTAGTGGATGACCACCAGGGTTCCTTGTCAATTGGAGTGCACCAGAAGATCCAGGTAACTAAGGACGTTTGCAGTGAGTCACAGGATGATATAGACCTCGTGACATCACATGCAGGGTGACATCTCTCATTGGGTATACAAACCTCTTGGTCTGAGCTGCGTACGTAGGGAAACATTCACTTGGTAAGAATCGCCCCTGGCGGTCATCCACTACCCACACAACCACAGTTACATTAGTAATTAGCATTTTGTGTCAACGTTCCAAAAATCTTGGTCTTGATCTTGTTTTTTCTCCTACCTCCTTCAGTTCAGCATCAGGCAGCACGGCCCTTTCCAGATCACTAAGTTTCTTAAGAATCCTTTTTACTGAAGGGTCCTGAAAGTCAGTAGTGTCGTATTTGCGGGCCTCCAGTCCATAGGTCTTTGTGTGGTTGGCCATCTCCAGGTTTTTCTCCAGCTAGAGATAAAATACATATTAGACATATAACTTACATACAGTGTGCAAAAGTCAGAAGCCACCCTTAATTTATTTAATGTCCATTTGAAACAGCTATTAAGTGCAAGTTATTAATTCTTCATGGTGAAGATTAGAAATAAGATACAAGAAAACAGACAAAAAAGAAGAAAGCTTGTAAATCAAACAAAGAAGCCACTGGTTCTCAGAACAATGGACTGGCTGCTACAGAGTCCAGACATCCATGTCCTGAATGTGTTTGGGATTACTTGGATCGTGAGAAACAGAAAGTGCAACAAACTTCTGTGACAAAACCTTGGAGGTGTGAAAAATATTCCTGCACATTTCTTTGAAACACTGAAAGCAAGACTCCCTAAAAGAATGGAAGCTGTACTGAAGGCAATGAGTGGGTAAATACTGAAAAAATTATTACTGAAAGAATTTATATTCATTTGTCCGACCTCTGTGTACAGCGGTGGTCTTAGCATTAGGCAAAGGTAGGCTGCCATGAGCCAGGGCCCCATGAGAATACAAATTAGCATGTGCTGATGTTAAATAAGATATTTCAAAATATGTATACATTCTGAAAACAGCTGTTACTGGAGACTGTAGCAACTATTTTCAGTAAATTCAATGCAACCCAATCACCTAGGACTATTCCATGTTGTTAGACGAGGACAAAACTGCCTAAAGATATAATCATATGAACAAGGCAATGAAGCGATAATCTACATAATAGAGAGAGGAGGTTCTTCAGTGTGATTTTCTGAGTGTTAAGAGGGAAAATCAAATAAAGTTATTCTAGTGCAGCAGAGAAACACAAAGAGAGGAAACCAAAATGTTTGTTGCTACATTCCCAAAGCTAACCACATTTTTTCAGTCAGAACAGAGTGCTGCACCATCTCTGAAGACCATGCATAATGCTAGCATTAATGTTAGTGTAGATAGCGCCAGTGTTGGGGTAATTAAAATGTAATATGATTGCCAAAATGGTCAGATAATTTCACTTAATAACATTTGGTAAAAATATGTTTTCTACTTTATTGCTTTCTTGATGCTGATAACATGTATAACTTTTACTTAATGGCCACTTTAAGGGGGCTGAAGGTTAGGGGACCAGCCTTGTGACCGGAAGGTCGCCGGCTTGATCCCCTGAGGCGACAGTACGTGATTGAAGTGCCCTCGAGTAAGGCACCTAACCCCCAACTGCTCCCTGGTTGCCATGGATAGGGCTGCACATTGCTCCAAGAAAGTGTTAGAATGTGGAGGTGAAATTTCCCCGTTGTGAGACTAATGAGGGTCACTTAACTTTTATTGGAAATTAAATAAATGAAAGGTGGTCTCTGACTTTTGCACAGTACTTAGTATTGCACGTTAAGAGACCGAATAACCAGTAGTCAGAGCAGCGGATGTAAAAATGAACTTGGAACCTCACCATAATTTGCTTGTTCTCTTCATTGATATCAGTGTTGTAGGCCCATGAAGCCTCAGTGTAAGCGTTCCAGACAATCTCCGCTGTGGAGTTGTACTGATCCAAGAACTGTTTTGCCTGCGTCTCATCGGTTATTTTGTCAGCTGGGAGTAAGAAACATGGCAATGTAGTCAACTTAGTATTAAGAAATATAACTTTATAATGCCATTTACTTTTAGTATTTTCATGTACAATTCGTAGTTATAATGTACAGTTCCACGCACATCCTATTTATAATGCAACTGTTCATACTAGACATTTATTTATTTCTATTAGAGATACTTCTACTAGTGATATTATCTGTTATCTGTAATTTCTTATTTCAGTTCACACCATGGCCAAGAAAAATTCTATGTACATCTGTACTTGACGAATGAAGATTCTGACTCTTACTCTTATGGTGTATTTAATATTATTTCTGCTCCTTACCAACGTCTTCTGGGTACCCCTCTGGAACAGGTGGCATCCAGTCAAAGTCAGGCCAGCCCAGCGTTTCACCTGTCAGCCTGTTCTGTTCCTCTAACCATGCGGTTACAGGCTGAAAGTATTCCATCAGGGGACTGGCATCCATTTTGTTTGTGCCCAAAGCATCTTGAAGCACTTCCGTCCAGGGCCTAGATGAGCCAGCGCGCAAGACTTTCCTGTCAAACACAAGCAAAGAAAACATTCACTTCCAAGAAGCCAGTAAGCATCAGAATGCATTCTAAACAAAGATGGCCCAGTACCACTTTTTCTTTACCTATATTGAAAGCTTCAGCCACCAATCTGATACTTTTTCTTTAAAAACTACTAAGCTTTAAAATGAGCTATTTTAATTGAAGAACTTCACTTGGGATGAGCATCTAAGAGTAGACTATCATGCTCAAACCAACATGAGTGTGTACAATTTCAGGCTAGATTTGTTACAGGACTGGATGAAATTCAGTGATTCTTACAGATTTGAAATATACTTTGGTGCTGACATGGAGGGGTGGAAGGACACATTAACTCTAAAGCATAAATAACTACAGCTTTTTCGCTCCAACAGGTCACACTACAGCCTACCAGCTGTTTTTCATACAGTCTGCAGGAGAATAACAGTGAACCGGATTACAAAAAATGCAACAAACCTCTATGACAAAACCTGTGGAAAAATATTCCTGCACATTTCTTTGAAACACTGAAAGCAAAACTCTCTAAAGCTGTACTGAAGGCAATGAGTGGGTAAATACTGAAAAAATTATTACTGAAAGAATTTATATTCATTTGTCCGACCTCTGTGTACAGCGGTGGTCTTAGCACTAGGCATGTATACATTCTGAAAACAGCTGTTACTGGAGACTGTAGCAACTATTTTCAGTAAAGCAGCCCAATCACCTAGGAGTATTCCATGTTGTTAGATGAGGACAAAACTGCCTAAAGATATAATCATATGAACAAGGCAATGAAGCGATAATCTACATAAGAGAGAGGAGGTTCTTCAGTGTGATTTTTTGAGTGTTAAGAGGGAAAATCAAATAAAGTTATTCTAGTGCAGCAGAGAAACACAAAGAGAGGAAACCAAAATGTTTGTTGCTACATTCCCAAAGCTAACCACATTTTTTCAGTCAGAACACACTACAGCCTACCAGCTGTTTTTCATACAGTCCGCAGGAGAATAACAGTGAACCGACTGACAAAAGAAACCATAATTGTTGGCAAAAGGGATTAAACATACTTTGAAAACACACACTGCAGACTCGAATAATTTCTTTTACTCAAATATCGACCAAACTGCACTTCTCTGAGATGTCATTTCAGCGCTTCTCTGTGCATGTGCACATACCAGGGCATACCTGAACTACGAGTTCTCCTCCTTGCTCAGCTTTTTTTGTTAAAATATTTCTCAATACTCACCTGTTAAGTAAGCGTTACATATTACAGATGTACTGAAAGTTTGGGGACAAGTTGTATTTTGTTCTGAACGTTTTGTAGCAATGTTTGATTTTCACGGTTATTTCCACAGTACGAAGAGTGATCTGACACTTTTCTTTTACAAGCTATTTTTAAAAGCTCATTCTGAAAATATTTGACCCAACATACAGTGTGCATCCCTACAAGAGTCTAAATATGTGGGGTTTGGCATTATTCCCAAGATAGCACTCAAATATTGGAACATGTATTCACGTGCGATACTGTTTACCTCAAAACATATCTGCTTTGTGTCAAATATGCTACGTTACTGCAAACCTGCTTATTTGTGTAAAAACATTTTTTAAAGTATGGTGTCTCCAAACTTTATGGTAGTGCATATTGACTTCTTTGCCGGAGCGAAAATAACAGCAGTACTGCATCTGAGCAGCTCAAGGTAATCTTCTGGTTTAGTACGTACTCCAAAACAGCTCCAGCCTCCGCTGATCTGTAGATGTCACACTTGTGCAGGGGTCCAACGTGCCCAGCCTCTTGGCAAAGTTTCTGATGAAACTGGAACTGCAGAATGAAGCTCACAAAGTACCTACAAGATAACATATTATTATTATTATTTATGTAATAAATGTCATACATTTAAAATGCTCTAAGTACTTTACAGTGAAATGTGAAAAACATCAGAAAGAAAGCAAACAAAAGGTTGTCAACAAATAAAATAAGCAAATGATAAAAATGTAACAAAAAAGTGATAAAAAAGACAAAGATGTAAAACATTAAATACATTTTAAAAAATGGAAAAAACAGAAAAAGTACAACAATTACAATAATGTAAAAGTATAAAGTAAGTATAAAGATCGTTCCACTGAAAGTATGTAATAATAATACCTAATGAAATACTAAAGTGAAGAGGTTCGGTTTTTTAGTTGTTTTTCCAAACCACAGATGGAAGAAGCCTGAAGAATATTTAATGTTAGATCTGGTGCATAAAAACAAAAAGGCTGCGTCGCCATTCTTTTAAAGTCTCATACATGGAATATGGAGAACTTGCATTGGATGATCTTAAGGCATGATTTGGAACGTAATTTATTCAGAGATCTATGATTTACATCAAGAGATTTAAAAACTAGTTAGCACAAAATCCCAGGCTCTTTACATATTAAGGCTTATTATTCAGTAATTACAGGCACTTAAGTGTACCCAAATGCCAAAACTGGTCCAATATGATCATCTTTTAATAGTCATGAAAGATTCATCATTGGCTTAAACAGTGCAGGGTTTTGATACTGTGAGACATTAAAGATGTTGAAGATGAGTGAAACTCTCATAGTAGCGGCATCAGATTATAATCTCACCTGATGTAGGGAGTATTTCCTGGGATATGATATTTTGCCCCAGGGTCAAAGAACTCCTCTGTCCGTCTTACTGGTGGACAGATGCCTTGGTATTTTGTCCTATAAAGTACAGGAATAAGATATGTTTCAGATTAAATGACCTCCCCACACTCACTCACAAATGTGTATTTACATAGGTACTCCTGCTAAATAGGATCAAATCTGATTGGTAGGCTAAGCAGAAAGTTCGTGGCTTCAGCTGTCTTAACATTGCAGAGTACAATACTAGCTACTGAATCATGGCTGAAGTTATTCAGGGATTTTCTGACAACATATACCTCATTGCATTTGCCATATAAACGAATATTATAGTAAAAAGAGGCTATATATCAAGCTATGTATACACACTAAGTCAAGTGACCGTGAGATACGATATGTAGCTAGCAACATTGAAAAGCCTTGGTCTCAGTAGATTCTTCTCTGATATTATCATAGTATCAGAATAAAGGTACAGCCTAGAATAACTTACCTGAGGTACCACCACTCTGCATTGTAGCGCTCAGGCGGTGTACGTCCACTGAACACACCCCAGCGCCACTGATCAATGAGGTATCCAAAAGGAAGGAATGCTATCTTCTCCAAAGCCATCTTTAATAGGTAATTGATGTCGGTCTCTAAAACACACAAAAGCATTTGTTCATCAGTTCTTTTTAATCAACCACATCATTGAGTTCAACTGATCAAGGATTATTCCTTTCTAGTTACCATTATCATCAGCCAGTGTTTCCAGAAGGCCAATAGTGTGCAGGTGTTTGGGCGTCGAGACAGAAAGAGACAGCACGTCTCCAATGGCTTCATGGAAGCCCGGGTTGGCTCCACGCCTGAAGCTAACCGGCTGGTCTTTGTACTGCAGGTAATACTCCACATGGCCCATCTCATGATGTACAGTGAAGAGCTGCTCCATAGTCACTATAGTGCACTGCTTGATCCTGTCACAGACAAAGACTTTATATGACACTAGGCTTATGTTATGTTGACTTTTTTCCAAGTCATTTTGGGTCAATCCTTTTGACTTTTAACTTTTTTTTCCCTTCTCCTTTGATCAGGGACTGTGTGTTATGCAAAAACAAAAGGATATATTCATTTATCATAAGCCCTATTCGAGCTGGATTAGTTTTACTTGGGGAAATTCTGTAACATATGTGACCTATTAATGTTCCACTCATAATTGCATACTTTTGTAGAAAATGTTGCAAATTTGGACAGAACACTGTCAATAATCCATTTCAAACTAGAAAGAAACATTTTGTCAGTGCAATTTTGATGTCAATTTTTTTGTAGGACTGTGAAAGGCTGAGGACGACAGTAACAAGTTACTTTTACTCGGGGAATGTGCTCAGATCGTATTTTGAGAGATTTGTACTTTTCTATTTGCAAATTATAATACTTCTACTCAAGTACATTTGAGTTTTCAGGTCTCTTGCAAACTCAACGTTATGTAGGTCTTAACAACTCTAAACAAATATAACAAATATTTTTCATTAGATTGAAAGGTGTTTTTGCCAGTGTTCTTTTTTTTTGAAAAAAAAATCCTATCAGAATACAAGTTATATCTATACACTCTTCAATCTTAATTATCACACAAATAAGCAACAAAGGGAATCCACTTCAAAGTAAAAGTAGTCAATAACAAAAATAATGAAAATAATGTGAGAACAGAACATGATTGTCAAAAAATAAATAAACAAATAATTAATTAGACAATCATTAAGGGGAAAAAATATATATATATATATATATAAATATATATATATATATATATATATATATATATATATATATACATATATATATATTTCTCACTGCATTAGTAGATCTATTACAGGGCTCCATCTCTTCGTAAATGTATCTTTTTGAATTCTTAATAAGTATGTTATTTGTTCCATTTGGTAGACATCCCACACCTTTTGGATCCATAAATTATATGTGAGAGGGTCTGGATTCATCCATTTAATTGTAATACATTTCAGAGCTACCGTTAGTACTATTCCTTGAAGGTATTTCTTGGATCTCCCCTCTAAGTTATCCGGTATTACTCCCAATATTGCTACTCTAGGATCTTGTGGAATATTCTGCTGAAACGCTTCCTTAAGAGCATCAAATATTTCGTTCCAGAATATCTGTAACATAAGGCACAGCCAAAATATGTGAGTATGGTTTTCAATTTGTGCTCCACAATTTCTCCAACATGAACTGTCATGTGTCAGACCCATCTTCGACACTATTTCTGGCATTCGGAAATATCTGGTGATGACTTTCCATTTGAGTTCTCTCCAGATGTTTGAATTGGTCACTAGACTTGCATCGGTGCATATTTCGTTCCAAGTACTCTGTTTTATATCCACATTTAGTTCTGATTCCCATCTCTGCTTCATTTTTAAAGAATTATTTAGGTTCATAGACATGAATATTTGATACAGTTTACAAATTATTCTTTCCCCTCCATTCTTCATTTGTAATTCCATGAAATAATTTTCTATATGTGTAGGTTTTGTAAGTTTTTCCCATTCTTTGTGTGTACTTAGAAAATGTCTCAATTGTAAATATCTAAAGTCTGTTCTGGGAAGAGCAAATTCATTTTCTAGCTGTTCAAATGTCTTAAGGTTACCCCTGTCCAACATCTGATACAGTTTGGTTAAACCATACTCTGACCATCTTTTAAACCCTGTATCCTTGGGCTTTGCCAGTGTTCTGTAAAACTTGTCCAACCTTTCAACAGTTCTATGAAAGAAAGAAGGGTGGAGCATGGAGAGGTCAAGTTGTAAGCGTTTTGACTGATTAGTACAGGATAAAACATCTGCATAATCTCTCCAAATTCCCACAAATTGCTTAGATTGAAAGGTCACACCCCAGGTGGACACCTCAGTGTTACAGAACATGTCTGTTAGCAGTATTGGAACAGGACTACTACTACTGGGGGAGCTCTAGGTCCAGTCAATTACAGAAGGGTATTGACTTCAGAATTACTTCAGTCAAACTTGTAAAAACTACAGACACTGCAGATCCATGTTAGCGTTAACATCATCTTAATTGGTAGAATCATGTTCGCTCTACCATTTAAGAATCAGCTTTAATTCTTATCTCAGATGCTTCAGATTCAATCTAAGATGATTTAGAGAAATCCATCCCTTGCTGGCATTTACTTAAATTACAGTACTTTCCCAAATAAAACTATTCTATAAATGCTCCATCCTGTAAGAGTGGGATCACACTGTAATAAAGTATGAAGTTTACCACAGATTCCTCACCTGAAGTCCTCGCGGTTATAGAAGTCCCAGGCAGAGGCATGGCACACCACCTCTCGGCCATCGGGCTTCTCCAGCATGGACTTCTCCCAGAACTTGGGGGGCATCTCCAGCAGTCCCAGAGAAGTGAAGAACTCCTCAGCCACACGGAACATGTGGGTGGCATTGTAGCCCTGTGAAAATGCAATAAACATGTATTCAGTGTTCCTGGAAAGTCACTTCCAGGATTTCTAGCATAGAATGTGGACAGCTAGATACCTTTATTGTCCATTTCTGAAAATTTGCCCGTGGGTTTACAAATGGCTGTATCACAACACAAGATACACAATATAAAAACTAGAAACAAACCACATTAAAAAAGTTCACATTTTAATCTAATCAAGCCTAATTCAACTAAAGGGCTTCAGAAGGAGGCATGATTTCATTTGCAGAACAATGGCCACCGTTAGTTTTGCTTACTTGTGCAACCATGTTGCTAGTGACATCCACATTTGGCTTATCAGGGAACGGAATCATCATGTCATAGATGTTATTCCAGGTTTGTGACCACATGTTTCCTGCACAGATCCAACAGCTCCATCAGAATCTGTCTGTATTAACAAAACTGGCATGTTTTAGAACTACACATGTTGCACAACGTCCACAGTAGTAACTGACCGAGAAGATGGGCAGGTATTGGTCCGTTAAGGTTGATGTACTTGGGACCGTAAAAGTCATAGAGCTTGCGCCGGACGAAGGCATGCAGGTTCAGGTAAAGAGGCTGCAGTTCTTTGAACAGGATCTCCAAGTCCTGCTCAAATGTGGGAGACTCATACCAGGAACGCCAGTAAGCACCAGTATCTTCAAAACCTGGAAATGACAGTGGTGGTTTTATTGAATACTGGTTTAAGTGGATGTCCATTGAACCTAAGGCAATGGCTACTATTCTTGGGGTCAACATAAACATAAAAACACTGAAAACATTACAGCCAATTACGTACAGAATGCAGTAAGTCTCCCTAAATGACCAGTGCAGTACACTATCAATTACTTACACATTTACACATTTTTTTTTTTTTGAGAAATCAACATAATCTTAAGATATTTTCTGTAATAACCCAGCAAATTACTGTGAAGCTGTACCGCACAGCATTATGGGATTGGACAGCAACTGAGAGTTAAAATGGAGCCAGACAAATTACACTGGGTCAGATATTGTTACATTAGTTAACTTTTAAAATTCCTGGCGTAGTACTTACTAAGGCTTATTGTTCAGTAACTACAGAGGCTTCAGTGTAAATTTGCTGAGCTATTCTTAGGTTAGAGAAGGGTGTAATAAAGCTTTAGGCTCGCCAGTGGGCCCTGGCCATTTAAGGGGTTAACTAACACTGGTCTATATTACAACTGTTACGGTTACCAGTACTTTTTTTTTCCTGTCTACCAACCACAGAAACATAGAACAGCAAGTCTTTTTAAAACAGTGGGTAAAAAGACTTCAGTTCATGTGACTTGGGGCAACAATACAAAAATGAGTAGAAAACAGAAAGTTTGTCGTCTTGCTCCAGAAGCTTCATGGGCATCAACCCAGTGCACAGTTCAAAACTGAAGAAGAAACATGGAAGAAATCAACAAAACACTTTGTCCTCTTGTAAGTTGTGGATTTGGAACAGATGTGAAAGTAGACATATTTTTTTGACAGGACTCTTAATAATGAATACGTAAACATTTTTACTCTTAATTCACTTACAGTAATACACTGTAACTAAAATACAGCAATCTTCTGTACTTTTACACAACATCTATCATAGTAATGCAAGTAGCTCAGTAGCCAGCAATTTACTGTGATTTTACAGTGAATGTATATAAAGGTTTATATTAACCTTTAAAAGTCCAATTAGTAACATGATTTATCTAAACATACTATCTAAACATAACTACGCAAATAGATAATTGATAACGGTTAAGCAATTAATTACATGAGATGAAGTATTTAATTCAAAATCAACACTTACGTAAATTACAAAAACATGCTAAAAATTTAAAGGATGCTTTTCTTTCCACAAAATAAGATGCACAACAGTAACTGTTTGGCTAATTCAAATGCTATTAACCCCTTACATGGCCATGGGCCCGCCAGCAGACCCAAAGTTTTATTACACACATCTATAAGCTAAGAATAGTGCGACCAGTTTGCACTGAAGTCCCTGTAGTTACTGAATTAAAAGCCTTAGTATGTTATAAGCCTGGGATTTTAAGGGGTTAAAATATTTCCACTAACAAACACAAATATAGTGTTTTTGACAGAATGTCCCTTTCAGTGAGCTTTGAGTGAGTAATAATTCTGGTATAAAAGTACAACATTTTTTGTTGCTGCCAGCCATAACTGTCACTTTAGTGAATTAATAATTAATAATATGGTTAATAATATGATTTAGTCTGCACTCATATAAGACAGCTTCAACAATATGCAAATATGTTAAATTCTGCTTCTTCTTCTGATTCCTGTGGTAATTCTGTGTTTTCAGTGTTACATATGCATACAGTCTCTCTCACTCTCTGAATAAGACTCTCCATCTAGAATAATATACTCACCATCCATAGTGGAGGCCTTGTTGCTGAGCTCCACAAACTCAGGGTAAAGGTCCTTGAGTGGCTTTCCAGAGACATTGTGCCAGCCCTCCCAGGCATACAGTAGCCTCTTGTAGCTCCGGGAGTTAGCCAATATCTCCTTCAACTCTGGAAATACAGAGACAGTGTTGGCTTAAATGCTGTGAAAGAAAGCTTTGGCAAAGAACATAAGCAAGAGAGAGACCTAGTTTCACCTGTTGTTGCTTTCAGTATGTGTGTATTTGTGTGTATGGCAAGTGCTCTATGCAAGTGCTCCATGCTTGATCTATGCTTGTCCTTTTGAAGTGCAAATTAGGGCACAGCGATATTAAAACCATCACAAAAGAAAAGGAAGAAAGAAGCCAGTAGAAATTGTCGTTACTTAATTCAAAGAAACTATAAGGGGAAAGAGACGAAATTAGATTTTACTGTTCAGTGATATCCTGACTGCTCAAGTCAAATGCATGACCACTTGAAAATGCATTATTGTCGAGTAAATGGAGGGCTGTATATAAATTCTGGAACAATGCCTCTTCATAAGAAGGGTCAAGGTTGGACGGATGCCTGTGTTATGTCTAGGACTGAGACTCTGTTATCAAAGAAGAAGTTAGCTTGTTTTGATCGTGTTCTTCCAGTTTAGGCATGAAGTACATTTCGGATATACATCAGAGGCCTCTTCAAGCTAATGTTCCTTTTCCTGCTCTTTCTTTTCCTGCTGGGTCAATGCCATCCTGCCTCCTCCTTGTGTGTTTGTTTTACTCCTTGTTTACATCTCAGAAATACAAAAACGTCCAGAGTAAAAGGTCAAAGAGGCCACAATTAGATGTGGCTTGTTGAGTCAATAAACTGTGGTGACTGAAATGCAGTGGAAATTACTCACCAGGTTCCAAAGACCAGCACTCTTCTTCTTTAGGACACAGTTTCGCAGTGGAGTAGATGTTGTCCATCTGACTCAAGATGGTATTGTACTAAAACGCAAAACATACAAAAGTCTATCAGTCATCATTTCAAGACAAAACGTAGGCTGATCCTGTGTGTTGTATCATTATCCTCCACCCCTCTATTCCGGAGCTCCAACTCTGATCTGTCAAAGCCGCTCTGGGCTGTTCAGACCAGAATAGGTTGGGAAGCCCTGATTCATTCAGCTATTAGTAATCATTTAATAGTATTCGAACATCCCAACAAGAAAAAAAGACACTTGATTCAACTAATTAGCAAGGCCTTGAATTGAATTAAGAGTGTTAGTCAAGGGGAAATGTAAGTCTCTGCAGCGCTGTGGCCTGGAAGGAAGTCAATTAAACATTCTTGCTCTATGGGATGGCTGTTAACCCCTGCATGGCTGTACATATGCTATATAACAAATACCACCAGTACGTAGTGTTGCTGGTTGTGACAATACAATGGGAATGAAAGGTACATCCACTGAGAATGTACCTTTTTTAAATCATTTTATCTGAGGTGACTGTGAGGTGTTGAACTAGATCATCAACATGGCAACAAGTCTGAACCATATAGATAGGTGATATAACCAGCTGTGCTTTAACTATGCTATGTTTGTGTCAATGACAGGCACATGGAAAGGCATTACTTCCACACATATAACTGATACATCAACTACTGATGCTCTCTGTTCTCTCTCGTTCTGGAGGAGCTGTGCTGGAAACCAATGAGATTGGCATGGTAACCAAGTACTTCATGCACTTTGTCAAGCTACGCACCAAATATTAGATGAGATGAGATAATTTCAATACTTAAAAAAAATTAAAAACACAGGGTTTCATTCCTGTAGTTGAATTTTTATAGGTTTAAAAACAATAGTAGGCCACTTTGAGGCATGTGTTTTAGCTGCACAGCACCAAAAGTGGTCAATAGCTGGCGATGCATCCCTGGTCCATAAATAGTTATTTCAAGAACAATGAAATATTTCAATGATCTAATAACTATAGCACTATGGCATCCAGTGTGGTGGATGATACAGGTTATTAAACATGTACCTCATGTCAAATGTCAAAATGCATTTTGTGTTGTTACTCAGATCAGTGCTCATCTGTGCTTGGATGAAAGCATGCAGACCAACCCTTTCTCTTTCTGTTGTAGGGAGGTTGGCAGGTCCCAGCACATTGATCTTTTTGATGAGTGTCTTCAGTTCCTGATTGGTAAAGGTGTCCATGAGTGCATCTTTGAAGGTGTCCTTAGCCTTCTGTCCCCAGGCCTCAATAAATGCTTGCTCCTCCAAAGATGCCTGAACCTGTGCAAACAATGGACCTAGTTAGTTACGTTATATGCTGCAGAGGAAGAGGACATATTTTGAGAACGGCAGAAACACAATTTCAGTGATTTGTACTACACTGTCACAAAACAGCTTTCAGAAAAATGCAGGTGCAGGCAACCCCCAATGACTTCAGCCAAGAGAGACAAAACCCACACCAAGGCTCAAAATTGCTGCATCAGATAGTCAAGTTTTCATTTTCACAGAAGATACACTGTTAAATAAACTGTCAAAGTACTGCAAAATGTAATGGTCAGTACCTGTTTTCTTTAATACATGTACTTAAACCTACTGCAACACTGCTGTTGTTAATTTACGGAAATATAACGTAAATTCACAAAAAACAAATCGCCTTTCTTTGCATTTATTCGAATGATTTTACTGTTTTCTTTTGGCAAAATACTGTATGTCAGAATAACTAGATAAACTGGTGCACCTGTTTAGTTACAGTAAAAGGCAGTATTTCTAAAAATCATTGAGAAAAAATACTTTTATTGTTAATGAATGCATTTTGTTTGGCTCTTCTGCTGCTGGATTTTACTGGATTTTTTTTTACAGTGTAGGATTTACACATTAATCTGTACACCACGTGTCAGATTCCAATCCTTACGGACCACAGTAATGCAGACTTCATCATTCTGCCTCATTAAACACACCTTATTCAACTCTTCAGGTAATTGCTAAGGCCTTCGTGAATGGAACTCTGAGTGTTAGATGAGGGAAAAAGCTGTGGCCTGGAAGGAACCCAGTTTGACATGCCTGTTGTAAACAGAGGGCTGATGTCTAGCACTATATGCTGAGTTCTTTGTTCTAGCACATCAAATAAACCTGGTAATTAAATGTTGATTTTGATCAGGTGTGAGCAGGAAAGCACTAAACTACGTAGAATTCCAGCTGTTAATGTCTGGAGTTCTCTAACACTGCTGTGAACTTTTGCTGAAAGCCGTATAACATCATCTTCTCTGTTCCTGTTTTTCATCCAGCGCCTTGTCTTTGACATAAGTGCTGGCCTAGGAGGATTCTGTGCTGGTTGCTGCAAGGATAGCCTCATATGAACTGCTCGTAGCCCATGATATTTGCATTCTTACATTGAAACACTTGAACAGGCAGATGAGAACATATCAGTGTACACAAAATGGATTTTTCTGTGAGGAATGACTCACACGTCATGCTGTGCTCTCTATGGCCACCCACAACTGCTAAAATCTAAATTGGCAAATGCAAAGCCTGTAGCTGCTGCTACGTTCAGCTGCACTCACAAGACATCTTCACTGACCCAAAAGGACTGCTGACTTTTTCACCTCAGTTTGGTTTATTCCCACTGATTAACTGGAGGAAAGCGAGTGACAGTACATAAACATTAACCCTGACCTCTTGCCACCTCACTGTCCGCTTTGTTCTCACCTTCATGTTATCACACTAACGCCCAAAGCTAGTGCCTGCTCCATAACACGAATGTTCATTTTTCACCCCACGTTTCCCAGGAATGGTTGAGATAAGGACGAGCACATTCTTGTTTTCCAGCCTCCCTAATACGTGAAAAAGAAGAGCGCTTATGTTGCAGTCCAAAGGTCTATGCTTTGGCTGTGCCATCTCAAGCTGGCGCAAAACCTCTTGTTAATTTTTAAAACAAGAAGGTAATCACTATTAAAAATGTGAAAAGTAGTGAGGAAGGGGAACCTGTTGCACTGAAAGCCCAGTAGATATAAGTTATGCTTCCTTATGCACATTTGTTTTTTTCCCATTCTCTCTCTTAAATGAACACTTTACAGCTAAACATGTCTTGGCTGAAGGAGAAAATTATGCAAATTTAATTTTCCGGCTAACTATTCCCATGATGCAAGCTGGCCGTAGATGATCCTGTGTTATTGAAATACTCTCCCATTACTATTTCGCAAATGTCTGATGGGCCTGGATGAAATTTGTCAGCTTATGCATGTTTTTCCGCCCCATTGTGCCTTCTGATGAAGGATCCACATCGTCAGCAATTTATTGGAGGCCTCTCGCTCTGTGTGAGCTTTATTTTTAGAGGTTAATTAAAAGGCCTCTTGACTGATTCCAGCAGGCTCTGCTGTTTGATCTGGTGTGCTAGTTGGCCCCAATCACACTGCACACACTCCACAGATGGAATTCTGTCCACTTTGCCTTCTGTGTATGTGTGTGAGTATTGTTTTGTTGGCCTTGAAGTGTATATGGCACGGGTGTGCACCAGTTTTGTTTATTTGGGTGTATTTTGCTTGCCTTCTACCATATGGCCCATCTGATCTGCACCTGGTGGATCTATCAAAGCAGAGTCCATTATACCTTTCCTGCTCCCTACTCACTATAACAAGGAATAATAACAATGTGCAAAGCATTTGCATACACTACTTTTATCATTTATGGCCACCATAAAGTCAGAGTGCCAAACGCAAATACAGTACCAGTGAGGTTTAGAAGGGTTCTCCTTATTTTTACTATTTTCTATATATTGCAATCAGATTTGGAGCAAAACATGTAGATACTCCTGGTCAATTATTACTCCAATACAAGTGAAAATTGTTCAGTCAATTTTTTTACTTGAGTTGGTTTTAAAAATACTCATTCAAAAGTACATTTTCTTTTTAATTTATCAAGTCGCATCTCATATCTTCTGCAGCGAATATGATAGTATAAGTCAGTGGTGAGCACTACATCACAGCTACCAATGTGATAGCGGGCAAATCAAAAATCCTATAAAAAATCATTAAAATCCATAAAAAGCCATTTGTCCAACCATCGCATAAAAACCACAACTACTACAAGCGCAAACAACTTCGTTTAAAATGTTTCCTAGAATTAAACAAATGTTTACATTCATTGATAAGCTTTCTCAGGCTGAATGGCGCATTTTTGAAGGCATTGATGAAGTGTGCGGTAAACAAAACAACATGGACTTTAGATGTGGCCACAGGTGCTCCGGTGAGGAACTTTGAACTTGACTGGCAGCGTAGGAGTAATTTACTGTGACTGATTTTTCCCCTGTGACAAACACAATATGGCCTACTGCATTTTAGATAATTCGCCTACTGACTTCAGAACTATGCTTCAAAGTAACGAACAATAAGAACCTTCATAGAAATGTAGAGTTAAAAGTACATCTATTTTCAAAAAAAATTGATACCCAAGTAATGTACCAATACTCAAAAAAATTACTTAAGCACAGTATTCAGTAAACTGTCCACTGATTGGAATAATAGTGAAGATATCAAAAGAAAGAAATTCACACATAAACATTATCTTCAAGCCTTTACATCAAAATGCCTTTAAGACTATAAAAAACATATGTCGAATCAACTCCGTCCAAACTTTTGACTGCTGCTATGCTTGTTGTGAGTAGCCGTTTATCTGTGGAATGTGGGGTGGGCTTTGTTGCTTTGACAGAGCTGCCTTTTGCCAGGGTGAGCCCTGTCAGCTCCGGCCCTCTGCTTAGCCCCTCCGAGAGAGCCGCCCTGGGATGGAGGCGCTTTGATCACCTTGTTTGATCTGTCTGGAACAATAGACATCACACCATGCGAGGCTTGGGCTAGGCTCGGCTCACCGCGTGTCTCTCTTTTTATAATTTTTTTGTTTAATTCAGCTGTTGGGCAGAGCCACACAGCTTTCTCAGGCGTGTCAAGCCAACCTCTAAAAGAATGGGCCTAAGGTCACACCTGTTGGGTGGGAAATTGCTGGGCTGCTGTCCATGTGCTATGCTATGTTGGTGTCAAACATTGTTGGAACAGCTGTCTGGAGGAGGAGGAAGATGCTGCAAGGAGACGCCTGGCGCGTGTGGATGTGATATCCAACTCATGAACGAATCCTTAACTTCAATTCTTGTTCTTTTCAAGAAACCAGTTAAACTAATTCACAACTGATTCAAGCATTTGTTTCATGTATCATATTATGGCATCCTCTTTAAGTGTGTATTTTCTCACTAGACTGTTGCTGTTTCTCTTGTACATTCAGAATCTGACTAGTAAGACTTAGTGGACATCAGACATATTCAGTGAATAACATATATGTATATGAAAGAGATGAGAATATATTCAAATTGTCTTCTCAATCAGTGAACCACTGAATAAGCCTCCACCTCAGCATCAATCCTCGCTGAACAGGATTTCTTTACTTTTCCTCTCTGTGTGTTCTACGATCCACTCACCCTCTGACATCTGGATCTACTGAACTGTAGGAGTTGCATGTTTGCGTTCTGAAATATGATAGTGGAATTGTTTGCAGCAAAGCTTTGCCTTGCCAGATAGAGAGTTCATATCCGTTTTTGCATTGCTTTATGCATCAAAGGACACCATATCGTGTCAGTGATAAAAATAGCACTCGTCTGCGGAGAAGACATGAATGTGTGTAATTTTGTGGCCGTTACATCATGATGGTTTTTAAAGACCGAGTGGAACTTCACAATCACACAGGCTATAAAGACAGTGGCACTGCTGTAAAAAGTTGTACCATACAATAAGCAGTTGTGCCTAGAGCCTATCGTCATACATGCGTAAGCTTGCAGCTCTTTGACATCTGCAGGTTAGAGCTATGATTACACTTAGAAAGTGTAATATTGGGATGCAAGACAGACTCATACCTGTTGCTGGGAGTTGTAGTCCGTCAGGTTGGTGTTGTACGTCCAGCTGGCCTCTGTGCTGAAGTAGAAGACTTGCTCTGCAGTTGTGTTGTAGTCACTCACAAACTGCTCGGCCCCTGTTTCCGAAGACTCGTAAGTCCCGGGCTCCCACTCGGGTTTCAGAGCACTGGCTCCTATCAGGGCCAGCAGCAAAACAGCCCAATGCATTGTCGGCTCCAACTTCCAACCACCAAATAAGAGGGATCAAGGGGACGGGGGAAATCTAAAAATAAACCTTGTTGCTGTGAGTAGCCCTCCACAAGAGTGTGTACTGAACCAGTAGGTGCACTGCTGGATGTTCCTGTCCAGTGCTTCTCTCTCTCTCTCTACCTCTTTTGCCCTCTCTCCCTTTCCTCCTTTCCCTTTCTTGCCCCTCTGCTTCTGCCTGCCTGTCCGTTATTCAGGCTTGAAACGCTCACAGCTGGTGCCTTTTAAGTGCCGTATAACCCAGCCCACACTCTCTACCAGCCTTCCCCTCACACGTCCCTAATATGTTCAGCTAACACTGTTTCTCTTCCCCCTCCTCTTTCACTCCCTCCTTTGTTCTTTCTCTGCCCCCCCCACCTTCTTACTGTCCAGCTCTCTACTCTTTCTCTCCCTTTACCTCTCTTTCATTGTCTGCACCTACCTGTCTGGCCCTCTCCGATGTGTGATAAGCAGTAAAAGCAGCAAAGAAGGGAAGATGCAAAGCTTCTGAGCCTGGAAGCCACTGCTAAAGCTGCAGCAGCTGTCACTGATGATAATGCTATTGCAAACAGAGAGTGAGCTGTACAGATCATTGCTTTTGGTCTTGAATCATTGTGCCCAGGATCTGTCAGGCAGCTCATTCTTTTACAGCTTAGAGTGGAGAGAGGAAGAAAAAAAGAGAGAGTGGGAGAGAGAGAGAGAGAAAGAGAGAGAGAGAGAGAGAGAGTGAGAGAGAGAGAAAGAGAGAGAGAGAAGGGTGTAGATTGAAGATGATTGTTGAGGAAAAAACAATAAGTAGGAGTGGTAAGAATGAGAGGAAGAAGGGGGTTGTTGTGATTTCTGCAACGCAGCTTCTACTCAAACATAGTGATTCCTTATTTTACACATACAAACCAAGAAATACCTTGAGGAACAGTCATTAAATCAATGTATCAAGATCCCATCGAACAAGGGCATTCTGTTTTATAAGAGTCCAAGGGTCTTCCTTCTGACACTTTAACAATCCCTGTCTTTGCCAAGAGGCTTCTTTAACTCTGCGCCCAACTAGCCGAAAAAAAGTTCTCGTCTGTCCTCTAGAAATATCCAGTGTCAGTGTTTTTTGTATCATACATTGTATTGTTATCATAAAGTCAAATGAAATATACACTCTGTTAATCTTGCACTGTTCCTACGATTAGATTCAGAGTATCTTTGTTTTGTTTGACTCAAAACAGCCGAGAGAGATCTTACACAATTATTTATTCTGGGTCGGAAAACAAATTTTAATAGGGATCATTTTTATTGACAGTAGCATTTAGTTCAATTACTTCATTTGTGTCTACAAAACTGCCTTGTACCGTCCCCCAGAGGGTCAAGCATTTTCATGAGAAGTCATAAGAGGCACATCATCCTGCTGTCACATATAGGAATCTGCCTCTCAGCAACAAAATGGACTGGGCCTGTCGGCAGCAGAGCGGAAAGAAATAACGCCAAAGAGAAGAGAATAAAAGAAGACGATGGAATTGCACAAATCCAGGCTTGATTATATTGGGTCGCACGGGGTCATGATAGCACAGAAATCGAATTTGAAGCAAGGCAGACAGCTCCAGTGAAGAACATGATGGGATCTAAGCCAATTTCCTTCCACTGCTGGGGGAACTTGGGTAAAGAGGATGGATTACACCATCGTGATGGCCCGTCAAAACGAGCTCTCCATTGTTGTAGATGACTCACATACGGAACCATCTTGAAGCAAGAGAATGCATGCAGCGTATAGGGAATTGCCATAATCATGACCAGTCAACCATAGCTGAGAATTCACTCCTAATCCTTGAGAAAACTATGTCAACCCAGTGGAATTTATGTAAGGTATTTGTTTTTTTTTTGATGGGAAGGCTTAGTGGGGCTTACAAACTGTCACGACCACGTCCAAAATGATTCATGGAGTGAGAACCACTGCAGGCAGGGTGCTTTTTACAAATCTAGTCCTCTGCACAGTATGAGTTCCGTCCTTTCTGTTTCGTAAGCTCATAAAAAAAAGTTCGGGAATACACAGTATGGTTCCCAGGGGTATTTCAAGTATGTACATAGTAATACCAAGTGTTTACGCCAAGAAAGTCAGTAGAGAGAGAGAGGAAAAGCCAAATTACGCTGTAATCAGGAACAGAACTGCTGCCTCTTCAAACTTACTAACATAATCTTCATAGTCTCGTAAAGGAAAACCAGTTAAAATGTTAAAAAAAATGTTTAAAAAGAATGACTTGTCTGAGTCACCCTAACGTCACGGTCCAGCTGTACATTACGTGGCTACAATTTAGCCACAAAGCTGAATCACTGGCTCAACAGGACACTGCAGCCTGATACTTACATACTTACCTATCCACGAACCACAGACAGTGACTTCAGCACTGCTCAGTAAGAAAGTTATTGTCTGATCTGCAGTAAGGCCTGGTCAGTGGCCTTTGACAGACTCAGCTTGTACCTTGGTTCATTATCTGACAATAAAAAGACAACAATGATGAGCCTTTGATAAGTTATTACAGATGCTCTGTTACATAGCAAGCATGACCAGCCATGTCACATTTTAGCTCCATTTTCTATGTGCTCAGATTTGTGAGTTGAGAAACAAGCTACAAGCTGGTGATTATATCCTGAAAGGACCAAAGTAGGACACAAAATATGTAGTTCTATGTATTTAGATGATGAAGAAAGATCATATAAAACAGCACTGATCACATCACACAGCCTAAATTGCCCAAAGTCAAACATCCATAATATGCATAAGAAGCTATTTGCAGGTGCGTGAGTAAGGGCAAGGGCATCATAAATGACAAAAACATGCTGACAAGATCTCAATAATCTCTCCACTGAACAGCTCATAAAATCTGAACTTGCTGACAGAGAGCAGTTCTCTGATTATTGCCCTGTGTCATATTTGCAGAATCTTTATGAGTTTGTGTTGAACGCATGTCCATTATCAAGCTTAAGCCAGTGCTGTTGCTACAGCTATCATCTACAGCTGATAACAGCTGATAACTACATCAAAAGCATTTCACCATTACTGATTCTACTAATGGACTCAGCAAGGGTTTATTATTACATATTTATTGATAAGCAGTGCAAAAATACTTTCTAATAATCAGTTAACGGTGTAAGAGATATTAAGAGACAAGCATTTTCTAATCAAAGCATGTCTAGACCAGCAGTACATAGTCCTTGTACTTTATCACTTATTGGCATCACTTTGTAATCACAAGATTTAAAGATAAAATCTGGGAGATCTGTCACCCTTTCAGCTTTATAGAAAGAGCACCAATCACATGAGCCACATATCACGTATGAGTTAATTAATATGAATTCAGAATTGAAAATGGCAGAAGACACAAACCACAGGAACATCAAAAGAATCTGCTTCGATTGGCATACATAATTCTTAAAAGCCTCTATCCTACAGTTTGCCAGCAGTGGACGCCTCCCAGTGAGGGTTTACCAGGCATGGCCTACTGGGACGAGACCCCGGGGGTTGTCCTAAGACCCGCTGGAGGGAGTATATCTCCATGTTGTCCTGGGAGCGGCTTGGGGTCCCCCGGAATGAGCTGGAGGAAGTTGGGGGGACAGGATCATCTGGGATTCTCTGCTCTCCCAACTGCTTCCATGACCCTATTTGGACTAAGCAGTTAGTGATGATGATGAGTCAACTGGACACACGGCTACACTTGTATTTTGAAAAAAAATTCTTACATATATCTTCTCAACAGAGACTTAGAGGCATATGGAAAAAAGAAAAAAGAAGGGAATGGAATTGTAGGGTTGGCCAAGCAAATATGGTTTAAGTTTGACGTTTAGGTACAGTATCATGCCAGTAAGAAGGTATCTGCAGTAAAATGCCACTGTTATCCGTGTGACATGAGCATGAGGTGACAAGAACGTGAAGCATAGATAACTTGAACACAACATAGCACAATCAACAAGAGGTGAAATGATTCAGCTTGATGACAGATGGCATCAAGTCAAGGAAAAGAATTTCCATCCATTTGAAAAGGATCAATTTTCCCTCCTAGTTTTAGTCAATCAGCATACAGACTAACGCAAATTAATTAATATACTAATAAGAATTAGGATTTAGGAACACAAAATCAACAATATGTTAGTTCTGAAAGGAAAAACAACAGTGTTGAGCACCTCTGGGTGGCCTAAGCTGCGCCATACAATCATTATTATCTATAAGAGATTAGAATTTAGGTCCAAACTCAATGTGATCTGAAAATGTAGAATAAATGGCCCACTCAAACTCAAATATTCCCATTCTCACACACACACGCATGCACACCCGCACACACAGAAAGTTTCCTATTTGCAATTGCTTCGGTTTGGTAATTTAATTCACAAGCTTTAATGGAATTCTGTGAAGTGTGGCAGAGCTCTGATTGCCCTCAGCATCCAATCTCCACAGATAAGCGAAAAGACAGCTCTGGCAGGCACTCCCCAACAAATAGAAAATCAAATAGGAAATGGGGCGGGGAGGCGAGGGGGTTGGAGGCTGAGAATGGCTTGTGGGGCAGTCAGCGCTGTAAAATGCCCATTGTTATAAAATATGTTTTCCCATTGTTTTGAGAAATGTTGTGCTCTTTGCAGGATATTGTGTTTAGCTATTACATGGCAACAAGAAACATTATGCCACTCCCTCTTTCCAAAATTCCTATTGTCAAAAAGGAGCAGACCTCTAAACATCTGTTTTGATAAACTAATCATGGCACTAAAATCCTTTACTCTTCCCAAATACATGGACGCTGTGAATACTGGTAAAAATTCTGTCAAGCCATAAGTCAGATTTAGCAACACAGGAACAGGAGAACAGCTTGATGCAAAAGCTAGGCCAGGCTTGCTTCCAGCTCACTTGTGTTACAAACCCGGTACCTAATAGCTACAAGCGTGTAATTGGAAACCTCGTGGCTGCTGGAGAACAGCCAGGCTGACCTGGGTCCATTATGCAAACTGTGGGCATCTCCATAAAATGAAGTCATCTCAAACCTTAAAGTGAACCTATGTTAAAACTAAGCATAATGATTTATTTCATTTAATGTTTACAAAAATAAACAATTTAAGAAGAAACAGGTAGAAAAAACAAATAATATTATAAATTATTGTTGTTTTTTTATTATTTCATAATTATTAGTATTAATATTATAAACCATTATTATGAGCTGACATCCAATCAGCTGCTGTTATGCAGTTTACTGTACACATTTATATACTTACTTTGGTCTATAATAGGTATAAATATTTTTTATAATACATGCAGTTTTTCAGCGCTGGGTACTGACATTACCCATGGCCCAGCAAGTCGCTGCTGTCAGAAGAAAACCTTGTATCTCCATTTTTCACGTTTTTTAGTTTTTGACATAATTTGAAAATGCCTGTTGCTCTTTACATAGTGTGTAAATTTCATGATGATTGGACCAAAAGAAATGGCCCAAAATGACTTGGAAGAAATTCTGGTTCCATTGACTTACATTAAAAGTTAAGTAGGTTTTTTCCTTCTCCTGTAAAGTTACCCTTTTTCGAGATACGAGGTTTTCTTCCAACAACAGCAATGTGTTCATTCGCTGATATAATGTGATCAAATTATATCAACAAATCTCTCAACTGCCTTCATGATTATGAGTTGTATGGCTGAGTTACCATGAATCAGCAAGTGTACCCGCCTT